GTGCACGCGCGCACGTGCACGCGCATCACGCGCGCACGCGCGCACGCGCGCACGCACGCACACGCGCACGCGCGCGCGCAAGCCGGCACGCGCACCACAAGCGCACACCCACACGCGCACGCGCACGCCCACCCGCACGCGCACGCGCACATACCGCTGCCTTTTTCAAAAAGATTGGTGTCCAAGGTTCTGCGCATTGGGTTCCGGCAGGGGAGATGCATGCATCATGTCATGGGTACACCACGCATCTCAGTGGGCACCGTTTTTGGAGTGTTTTTGGAATGCTGATGTGATGATGATGTTGGCCACGTTTGCGGGGTTGGTACTCTGTAGTTCCTGATTTGCACCGCTGCGTACGCCAGGCCGCGTTACGGGAGAGAAATTGTTAGTGGCTCAGCATGTTGGCATGCCACGGGCAGCCGGGAATGACAACACCGCGGCGCATCGCAAGAGCGGACGTACGTCGCACGACATGTCCTTGGCCCGGCGAGCCTCGGCCAGTGCTGCTTCAGCTGTGATGTCACTCTGCGGGGAGCTGCTTGGGGTGGGCATGCAGAAAGCCTGGGCGTTTGGCCACGGCTGCGCTTTCAAAAGCCCTTGTCGCATTCAAAGCCCCGTTTCAGGTGTCCGTGGGATTCATCGGAAAAACGCCTCGACAAAAGAATAGCTCGAGCTTGGTTGACAATTGCATGTGTCCCCATCATGCACGACCAATTCTTCGAAAACAATAGTAGTCGCCTGGTTGCTTTTGTTTTGCTGCGCATGCCCGCGTGCGCAGTATGCCCTCCGCACCCTCCCTTCTGCTAGCACGCGCGAATATGCAGCCGGTCATGATGCCGCTGTGCTGCGGTGCCTTGACTCTCTCCTGCTCGCTGATGCTGCTGAGGGCTTGCCCGGACAAGTTGTCGCACGTGTGCAGTTGGCCCTCCGCCATGGTGGCCTGGGGCTGCGCAGTGCTGTCCGTCATGCACCTGCGGCTTTTTGGGCGTCCTGGGCTGACACTTGCTGGTGCTTGACCCCCCCCCAGAAGACCCGGCCACCGGTACTCTTACTCTTCCAGGGCATCAAAAAACAGGTGCACCTTTAGTATCATAGGGGGTCGTGTGTCCCAGCTGTTTTGGGGGATCTCGCACCCCCTCTACACGATTTCAGCCAAGGTTTGTTTAGATGAAATACCCCCCTGCACTGGGCATTTCAGCCCACACCTCCCCATTCCAGCTATCGCCAACCAACATCAAGTAGTCTTAGTTGTGTAGTCTATTGAAACCGTGCCAGTGGAGTTCACACGCGGGCAACGGCGCAGCCATAGTCGCATTCCTGCTTCGGAAACCTCGCAGCAATGCACGCGAATTTAGAATGCTGTGTCATTATGATTTAGTTCGTTTACAATTCTATTATAAGGATTCACGGGACGAGCACAAAGGTACGAAAATAATAAATTCATGAACTCACTCACTCTGTTCTCTCTCTTTTTCTCTCTCTCTCTCTCTCTCTCTCTCTCTCTCTCTCTTTCCTCTCTTTCTTTCTCAATAATAAGTCCAGAGAATACAGTAGTTTTATATTATTGTGCTCTTTTATAATTCTATTATTAGGATATTGGCGTACGAAAGCAGTAAATCTACGCCCATTAATAATATGAAATGTAATGATTGTACAAGAGAGCTCGTTTCACTCACGCCTTTAATACAGTTGTTACACGTTATAAAACTACTCGTAAACGTCTCTATTGGGTATAAAATGATTACGCGAAGAGAATTATTCGTCAGGAAAGCGCATTCATAATGTGAGAAAGAGAGAACGGATTATATGAATGAAACGAGAGAAAAGCCCAGACAAAGGAAAGAATAACCCCAACAATTACTATTATTATTATTATTATAATTATAATTATTAGGACTTTTGCACACACTATTACTATTATTTATACGGGGCTTTACTATCTTTTTATTTGGCCCGTCACAATAATAATCGTGTGTGTGTGTGTGTGTGTGTGTGTTACGTTCACATCTCTCACTTGACTGCGTGCTTCACTTTGTTCATTACCCGTCTGTTCACGTTGTTCACTCTCTGACTCATTATGAAGAGGTTATTGTGTCCCGAGAGAGTGAGTGGTCAACTGCAGGCGTTCCTTGACAGATGATTCACGTTTAGGACGTACCATTCATCTCTCTCACTCTTGTTTCGGCTTTTCCTGGTGCTCTCTTCACTCTTGACTCCGACGCTCTATCTCTAGCTCCTGTTAATGGTTGATCTGGGGCTGAGTTTTAATGTCTTGAGTTACTAACCGGCTTAGAGACCAGTCCAACCGCAGCACCCATCACACCTTGAGACCCAACCCTCTATCTCTAGCTCCTATTAATGGTTGATCTGGGGCTGAGTTTTAATGTCTTGAGTTACTAACCGGCTTAGAAACCAGTCCAACCGCAGCACCCATCACACCTTGAGACCCTGTTAACGCCTGGTCTGGATAACTGTCCCTTTAAAAAGGAGTCATGTGAACGGTTAACAGGAGCTAGGACCATGGCTCCAAAGCTGGTGCGCTCCCTCTAGAGGTGTCTCCTCCCGCCATTCCCCCCCAAGAAAATTAAAGGGTGCTTCGCAGACCCCTGGAGGCACCCTTGTGAAAACACTTTCCTATGTGCAGGGGTGTAACACAGGGACTGTTTTACCTATTTCCCTGGCTGCCGGCTTTTTAGCGTGAGACACCGGCAGGAGCCTGACTTTTTGACTAAGCCAGTGGAGCTTCAAGAGGAGAAACCCGGACCCCCCCCCCCCCCCATTTCAGCTAACAAAGCCTGCACCCCGGGGCTGCTCCCGGAAATGGGGCCGCACCCCTGCATCTCAGCCCTTCACCCCTCCATTCCAGCAGCTAAAATGGGGGGTGGGAACCCCTACAAACGTAGAACCCCCTGTTTTGTATCCTTTAGTGATGATTTCCCCATGACACGAGAACACAAATCATACCTCTAGTCCCCCGACCCCCCCCAAAGGCATGATTGGGCCTATTTTGCCCCCCCCCCCCCCCCCCCCCCCCCCCCCCCCCGCGAAGGTGGGGGAATCATATCTCCGTTTTTTTTCTATCTCCCCTATCTCCTTCTTTCTCAACTATCTCAAAGGGCCCACTGTGTAAGGGCATGCGCAAGCGGGTTGGCAGCAAAACGCGGTCGCGAAAGTGGAGGTTGCGTGTACGCGACGCGTGGAACTGCCAGCCATATCGCACGCCAGCCCCACCATCCTCAGCCAAACATCGCACACAGTGCGCGGCCAAATCCGGCAGTCTGGCGTTAGGTTTTAGGGGCTCTCGTGTTGGCGCTCCGAGCACTTGGTAGGGACCCCCCGCCCTGTTTAGGGCTCAGGGAATTCCATCTAGGGAGCCATACTTGATGGCCAGATTCAATATCACATCAAAATTTGATATAGGGCCTCACATTGATGGCGGGCAAATCGGACAATAGCTTCTGCATGTTTTGGTGGTTTCAAGGTGTTTCTGATTCCTGTTGGGAATGTATGCTGGCCACGATAATTGTCGGGTGCGGCCGCCTTCACCCTATGAGGCACAAGCGTCCACAGCTCAGGACAGTCGGGGCGTGAAGAGACCCCAGTTAGAGCTAATGGGGCGCTTTCATTCAGTGTTCGTGAGTGTGGTCTTCGCGCAGATGTTGGAGATCCGTGCGGCCATATGCGAGAACTGGAATGAAACCCAGTGCTCCAACATGAACGACGGCGGTTGCAGTTGCTATTGGAACACCACAACTTGTTCAAAGAACACCTCCGACTGCAGTGGCGTTGGCATCACGTCTGTGGGTGACAATTGCACGCTGACTGGCGGTGAAATTGTGAGTGATGGTTGGGGTGGCAAGGACACAGGCAATAATTGCTGCAATACTTGCCAATGTTCACAAGGGATGCTGGCTTGCACCCTTATCGGATGCATGGACAGTTGCAGCCTTACAATCAGCGACGCCAGTCGATCTTTGGCTGGAAGCCTTGCATTACTCATGCCACTGTTGGTCACTCGGACCTGCGCATAGCTGTAGGGTTTGTAGCATGCACGCGGTGACACACGGCATCGGTGCTTTCTTTTGGTTTGGAGCAAATGTCAGAGACAGGTGCACAACGACCAGCCAGCCTGGGACACAAACGGGCCAGGAGCGTCCGAAGAAAGAGCGAACTGCTGTGAGTTTAGGTTCTGGTGCTGCAGTTGTTTTTCCGCATTTCCACCGTCCACGCCACGTTCCCTGAGTAGGTTGGGGAAATGTGGCAACTTCTCGCAGGTTGCAAGTGTACTTGGGGCGATGTGGTCAACAACGAGTTTGGGGGTTGATATGGAGCAATTACATAATACAGTTGAATGCTGTAAGGGCTCCAATCTACAGCCAACTCCCCGAAATGTGACCAGACCCACTCACCAAGTACAAGTGCATCCAACCTTAAACCCGAATTCCCTTTGCGCTGCCTTTGCGTTCGAGTCTTTGCGGCCAAGGTGGCGTTAGCTTTGCAATCGTAGCGTGGCAACGTTCGATTTCGAGGTGGAACTAGATTCGTTCCCCACGAAGGTTGCTTGAGGGATCGTGCGAACATGTCTTGTTCGATGCAATGATGCAGTTTTGCAGGTGACACGAACCGGTTTTGTTTTGCAGCTTCTTGGCTTCGTTAGATTGGACATGCAGCACCCCACCTCGCGCTTGCATGTTTCAAATGCAACCTAACGCAGCAAATTTGCGCAAGCTTGAGACAAAGCGCACAACGGATACGGTTGTGCATGTGCACATGTGGAAAATTCTAATGGCTTCTGGCGTTGCTCCTGTGAAAGGCGGCGGCATGTAACAGGCCATCGCATGCAATCCCCGCTGTCGTTGATTTTTTGACTTGTGAGCAGCTTGAATTCACCCGTTGAACCATGATGGACAAAGACGGCCCGGCCTCCACACACCTAAATTCTCACTATTTTGCAGGTGAATGGTGCATAATGGGATGCACGGAATCGTGTCCCTGCAAAGATGGTGACGGCCGCGTGGCTCTTCCCTACTGTAGTCTTCCACACTGGAAAGTTCTCGTTTGGGTGCTGTCTCGGTGGCTCCCATTCATTGCTAAGGTCGCAGTCCGACGCGTGAGGACGTGTCCAGCCGAACCAGTGCTGCATGGGATGATGTCAATGACCAAGCTGTTGGAATCGGGAGAACGATGTATATACGTATATAGATAATTGTGAGAATGAGTGTCGCGTTGAGTTTTGCGTGTTGAGTTTTGCCAGGTCACATTATCGCAACGCCATCTGCTGGACCATTACAGGTTGATCAAAGTCTTGGGGGAAGGCGCGTGTGATCATAAAGCCCAGCCCCGAACGTTCTTTAGAATGACCCAAAAATACGACATTTCCGATTTTGCGGTTCCATGTGTATTGAAATGTGGATCGCGTAAGCAAAAAACTGGAGGTGGGGCTAAACAAGAAATAGGATACCCAAAATGGACTGAGAGAAGGGTAGAGGGAAGAAGAGCGAGAGAGAGACAGAGAGACAGAGAGAGAGACCTCTTGGCACTCCTCAAGCCCAGCAGAAGAAGAAGAGGAGGCATATGTAAAACACATAATATGTATGTGGCATTTTTGTCACATATGGTAACCCCCCTAGGACCACCTCCCTTATTAACAGCTGTCGTGTTCTCACTGCGTGTGGGGGTTTGAACGCAGCAACAAATAGAAAACATACACAAGTTTGCCGACCCGGAAAAGCAAACACCTTTTTCAAAAGACGTGCGGGGAAACAAAAAAAAAACAAAACAAAACAAACAAAAAAAATGCTGGCCTCACCTGCCGCCCGTCACCCGCCACCCCCCACCGATCCAACCCCCCGTACTTCCTCGCCCTTCAACCCTATAGCCCTGAAGCCCCGCCCCTACAGCGCTAAAACTTAGTTAACGGGTCTTGGGCTTTCAGCCTTCGGACACGAAAGAGGGTTCCCATGTTAGAAGCACCCAAAGAGTCCCAAGCCCCTGAATTAAGGCCCTATAGACCGTAAACTCCAGGATCTTCAGGGTATGTAACTTAACACTCGACATTGATTGCACAAGCTGTGGCAATAGCGGTGATTGCGAATCGGTACGTAGTGCTCATGGCTGGCTCATGGGCCGCGCTCTTAGGTGTTCCCTAAACCCCAAACCCTAAACCCCAAACCCTCAACCCGAAGTATTTAGCGGGCAAGACTCCATGCTGCCGCAAGTTGCGTCTCGGCACAGGTTCGTTTGGCGTCGTTTGGAGTTGCCACGCAGATGGCAGCTAGAAGTTTAGGGTTTGGGGTTTGGGGTTTAGGGTTTAGGCTGCAGGTTTGCTTGTCTCTCAGCTACTGTGCACGACTGTGCACGAGCACCCAGTCCCAGAGTTCCCAGGCGAGCACGTCATTACTGGAGAAGAATTTGCATCTTGGAGTTGACATCAGGGTTTAGGGTTTAGGGTTTAGGGTTTAGGGTTTAGGGTTTAGGGTTAGGGATTACAGCTTGGTTCTCACCAGTATCTTCCATTTTTCACCATTAGAGCGGCGCCCACCGCGCGCCACTTGTGCAACTGCCAGGATGGGTTAGTAGGCCTTATAGTCCTCATGATTAGGGTTTAGGATTTTAGGTTTTCGGGTTTAGCGTTTTAGGGTTTTAGGGTTTTAGGGTTTTAGGGTTTTAGGGTTTTAGGGTTCAGGGTTTAGGGTCTGGGGTTCATCTTGTTAAGGGGGAATCAAGTGTTATAGCCCATCCTGGTATGTATGATTGGTTGAGTTTTGCGCTCGTGAACATCGGCTTCTTGCTTGTGGCGACGTCCATGTGAGGCAGTGAAAATGGTTGACAAGGTGGAGACGCCGTGCCAAGTCTCGCAAGTTGGGGTTTAAAGGGAGTAGGTTAACCTATTCTCAAAAAAATCAGTAAAAGAGTTTCTCCCCTTAAAGAATTTTTATAATAGCGTGATTTTTAAAGAGGGTTTGGGTTTACAACAGGGGGTTTAGGGATTACAACAGGAATGTATGAGGGTGTTGCCTGGCCAAGTCCCGCTTCCAAAGGTTAGAGGGTATCCCAAAATGCTCCAAAAAACCCAATACCCCCCCCCCCCCCCCCTTAGTTAGGTGCCTTAACACATAGTAAGGCTCCCCATCTTTTTTGGGGTCCTTGTTATGGGGGGGGGGACTTTGATTGAGGGTACCCAACAACGGGAGCTTAATTAACTTAGAGAACTCACCATATGATTTCAGGATTTCGCCTTAGTCGGGGGTATTGGACTTTGGGAAAAGCATGTCGAAGCGGTAGCTTTCGTGCGGCTCGGATGCGCGAGGTTCCAGGACATCATGCGCGAAGCTGACTTGATCCAGACGCTGGATCATCCGAACGTTGTGGCTGGGTAGAAGTTCTGCTTCCATGCATATGCCCACCCGGTGGGCGCATGAGTGTGAGTGTCTGTGTGTGTTGTGCGATTCGGAAAGCAACCAGAGTCCGGCTCGATTTGCCGCGTGCGTTGGAGGGCTCGAATCAGGGCTACACCGATCAGGATAGCGTTTGGGGAGGGGGGGGGGGGTGGAGGTGGAGGATGACGCACAGACTCCAGCAAAGGCCCTCGAACCCCGGTGGCCTTCGTCAAACACGTCTTGGTCTGTGGGTAAGCCCCTTAACTAAAGGAGCGAATCGGATTCTCAGGTAAAATGCTTTGGCATATACTTCGACAACTGCTTCGTGCGACCCAGCCGCACGTGATGGTGGCTGGCACAGCTTGCATCGTAGGGTTTAAACCCTAAACCCTATAAACCCGTCGCTGAGGTGCATCGTGATGGACAGGTTTAAAGGCGGAGATGTCGTTCAAGCTTTGCAGGCATGGCGGGGTTTAGGGTTTAGGGTTTAGGGTTTAGGGTTTAGGGTTTAGGGTTTAGGGTTTAGGGTTTGGGGATTAGATGGATTAGGGTTTAAGTTTCTTCGATTTGCCGTGGGACGCGTAGCAAGCCGGATTGGGGTTTACAGATTCCGGTCGCTGGGGCAGGTGAAGGCGATGCGACTCGTATTTAAATTTAGCAGCTGGGGGAATCTCTTCGGAAGTTCAGCAGCTCTGCCCACCTATGCCTCTTCTTCGTGAACTCGTTTTGCCGGTTCCCTCATAGGCCTTGATGGCAGGGCGCACGTATCTGTATCCTCAAGGCTTCTCCTAAATGGCGCTGAAAGCACAGACCTGTGGTCAGGGATGGCATTTCAGCTTACCGTGCATCCAGGAGCGAACGAAGATTTCACGCATCTTTCCAGACCATGACCTGGCAGCTTGCCCAGATCATGCAATGATGTTGTGTGCCCTAAACCCTAAACCCTAAAACCCTAAAACCGCTGAAGTTTTCTAGGCGCCAGGTGGATGCTAATTGGCCCGTCGATGGTCAATGTGGTTGATCTTGTCCCGGAGTAGCCAGCTATTGTACGATTCGGACCCCCAAAAGCAGCAAAGATTATAAGCCCTTTTGTCTTTAGTTTTTGGGTGGTTCATTAGCAAATAGTAGTATTAGATTGCTGCATGGACCCCGTTTCCTTCCGGCGCTTACTGCAGATGCCATTCTTCATGAATGTACTGAGGTGCATGTGAAGAGCTGCTCGGCGCAACATAGTTTGCGCGCTGTACAATCAGTTTGCAAGCATCAGAATCGGTGTGTTCGGTGCTGAGTCGAGAGTGCTGAGTCGAATCTGTGTGGAGATTGCGTCAGGACAAATGGCAACAGCCGTCGCGTATTTGCATAGCCATTACGTGGTACATCGAGAGACTTGCTTGAAGATATCAGCATGCCCCCGTGTTGGTCACTTGTGACCGTGTCTTCTGGACACTTCTGCCCACCATGCACGTTCACATGACTGGCACAGCACAGGTCACTCAGCCTGAATCTTGCAACCCTAAAGCCTACTTACATAAACTCAGCGAACCCGTAGAAATTTAGTTTCGCCGCAGAGGCTCTTTTGCAGAATTGAGCTGAGGATGTCAAGGGCGACAATTTCCTGATGGATCAAGCGGACTTAACGTGTTCCCAGTGTTGCTCGGACATCAAGCAGGTGCGTGACCTCATAAGACTTGGTAGCCCAGTGGTACCCTTTATACTTGTTTTTTTGGTTTTGGGTTCCCTTATAAAGTACCTGACCCCCAAAAGGGTGACCCTTATCATAATATGGTTACTGGATGTTACCGGGCTACCAAGAATACGTTCTTTGTCTGCTGCCTCGTGCGCTGGCCAGTATAGTGATCTCTCACCCGTGCTGCTTCGCTTCATGAAAATCGTGAATTCAAGTAACAATAGTATCAAAGTAACTCTTTTCTCAAACAAATAACTCTAGCAGTACTATACGCATACTGGCGTTCCTTCATTCCGAGTACTTCGAATGTGTCGGCGCCAAGATGCCCTAAGCTGCAACGTTTTTGAACCTACCTTCGAGGTGTGTGTGTGTGTGAGCTTTGCACCCCGAAGCCCAGGTAGAGTTGCTCTGACAGACTTCGGGACGGCATGTCATTTCGAGCCAGGTGCCCGTCGAGGGCCATTGGGCGGGTTTAGGGTTTAGGGTTTAGGGTTAAGGGTTTCTGGCAGCACCCACGGGAGTCCGGATGCAAAAAGGGTTTAGGGTTTAGGGCTTCGGGTCTTTGAGGGTCCTGCCCATCCCAAGCCCTAAACCCCGAAACGCAACCCAACGTGCTATTGACCAAAGCCTCGCCCTTGACCCTAAACCTTAAATCCCAGAGGGTCTAGGGTTTTAGGGCCTAGGGGATTGGGAGTTCCAAGAATCAGAGTTATACTCTTTTGGGGTATATTAAGGACTCTCCTCTTTGGGAAAGTATCCGCATAGCGCAAGCGCCCCTCTGACGCAGGTGGGCGGCTGCACTCAGAATGTGGCACGCACGCGTTTTGGTCACCGGAGAAGCTTGGACTCGTCGGTGCAGTTAAATGTAAATAAATAAATAACTTAGTAAATAATAAACAAATAAATAAATACACATAAACTATATATATATATATATACACATGTTTTTATTACTACTATTACTATTCTTCTTCTTATGATTATTCTTATTACTATTGTATATTTATATATACTATATGAAGGCAGCTCCCCGTGAATGATGAGGTTGGGTTGTCATAGCTCTTGCAGCACCAGCTTTGTTTGCCTGTTGTGGCAGGCTGATGGACTGTGTACGTGAGAAACATGAACATCAGCCAGCTACTTTATGGCGCATGTCCTGCATGCAGAGCTGCAAGCTGCCGTCACCGGCCTAAGGTTCTTTGACTTGTCCTACAATGAGAAGGCCGGTCTTGTCTGATCCACGCAGCTTGATGTCATATACCGCACGTGGGGCCTGGATGCGCTTCGTTGTGGCCTGGGTTAGGTCTTTCGGCCCTCAATAAACACTGCCGTAACATCGAAATCCTAGACCCTATGCTGAGACCTTGGCGGCCGTATGCGAGAGTGAGCGTCGAAACCCCATGGCACCCCGCCAGCCCCCCCCTCCCCCGAAAACCCCTAAAAACCCTAAACCCGAAAACCCTAGAACCCAAAATACCCTAAAATACCCGAAAGCCCCCAAAAGAAGGTGGACATTTGGGCCCTAAATTCCTAAAACCCTAAACCCAAAAGCCCTAAAACCCCAAAACCCTAAAACCCCAAAACCCTAAACCCAAAAGCCCAAAATACCCTAAAACATTAGAACCCTTAAAATCCCTAAAGCCCCCAAGACCCCCCAAAAGAAGGTGGACATTTGGGCCCTGGGTGTGTTGACCTTCGGCCTGCTCACCACGAAGTATCCCTTCAAGGCGCCATAGGTTTTTGTTGCCCTCCACCCTTGGGGAAGCTGTGGGGTTTAGGGTTAGGGTTTAGGGTTTGGGGTTTCGGGTTTGGGGTTTAGGGTTTCGGGTTTAGGGTCAGCCGTTGATGTACACAATCGCCCGGACTCTTGCTAAGGAACTTTTCGAATCAGCTTCCATACTTTAGGCACTATTTAAATTTCAGGATTTAGGGTTTCGGGTCTAGGGTTTAGGGTCCTTATGTTACCCAAGTTTGGTGACGTAGTTTAAGGACCTTAGAACAAGAACCCAGAAGCACCAGGCAGGTGGGAAGCTGCGCATTTTTGCGGAATTCTTTGTGTGCTACGGGGGCCTTCAATTTAAGGGTTTCCGATTTCTAGGGTTTAGGGTCAAGGGTGCCTGTTCTGGAGGTTCTAAAATAAGGATTATAAGGATTATTGTACTTGGGGCGGGGCACTGTTTTTTGGGAAATGCACCTGTATGGTGTTGTAAGGGGGAGGAGGCGGGAATTGCGCGCGGCGCACCCCGTTGGCATGGCGCAGTGAGGCTTATTCAGTTTTCAGTCAAGGGGTAAAGACTCGCACCCCCAAGGATGTGCCCCTAAAGGTTCCCCTGAATATACTCCTAATACGGCCCTTTTCTACCTTAGGGATCTTGAAAAAAAAGGGTCCCCAAAACTCCAGGGCACCGCCTCAAGGGTGCAGGGCAAAGTCGTTTGAATCAGAATTCGAAGGTGGTCTGGATTTCCGGAGTTTGGCAGTGTCGGCATGGCCAGATGGCCGGACTTTTGGCGTTGTACCCTAAACCCTAAACCCTAAACCCTAAACCCTAAACAGTTCGTAACTGTTTCAGGTTGTCTGTCCACCTCAGTACCTACTGTAACTCCTGTCGGGGTCCTTTGTTTCATTTGCATGCGCAGTAAAAGCATCAGACCCCGAACGTCGTCCTGTCGCTTGCGGGGGCTTCCCTCGATCAGTTCTCCTTTTTTCTGGCAGGGAGAGGAAGAGATAAAGAAGAAGCAGGCGCGGGATCTCTGCAGCACGAAGAACCTGCACGTTTTGTCACACATGAGGAGAGAGAGAGAGAGAGAGAGAGAGAGAGAGCCTCTTGGAGCAAGGGTGCAGCATTCATGACTGACAGTGTTTGTTTCACCTTTGGCATCCTGTCCTCCTGTGAAGATTTTCTTCCCGCCGTATGTCCACGAAGAATGCGCCGAGATGGTTTCGATGATGCTCTTTGGCATGCAACGGAGCATCAGTTTCCCCTCAAGGACTCTTGAATTCAAGCCGAGCCTTTGCTTGACAGGTGGGTTTAGGGTTTAGGGTTTAGGGTTTAGGGTTTAGGGTTTGGGGCATGCCATGAAGTGTCCTCAGGTTAGACAAGGATGAGGGCACGCGGGCGTCTGCAGCGGACATCATCCATCATGGCTGGCTGGATGGTCACGGTCTCAGAGCATCACGTCGATTTAGGTGGATAGCCATTTTTATCTCCCTAAACCCTAAACGCTAAACCCTAAACCCTAGACTGCCCGGGATGAAGTTGCCATGTATCATGTTTCAGAAGTCATGCCCGATCTGTTTTAGCACAAAAAATCCTGACAGCCTGTCAGTGACAGGCCCCACCTCTGCACATACCAAAAAGCCAAGTGAGCCCCAAACCCCTTAATGGAGGAATATGCCTTAAACTATATCGGGATCCTTCGTATAGTTTTAAGGTTTATTCTTGAATTGAGGCTTATTGGGCCCTTTGGAATCTGCAGCTAGATGTCCACCTGTCTCAGTTTGCAGATGGCGGCCAAGGCACCAGGAAAAAAGCACGCATGATGATGCAGCGGCGTGGCCGCAAAGAGTCAAGTAAAGCTTCGGGTGCCCGTTGTCTAAATCCTGAACGCTAAACCCTTTCGCCTGCCAGTGGCGATATAACGTCGCATTGAAGTGTGCATGCACGCGTGGTTTAGGGTTTAGGGTTTAGGGTTTCAGGCCTTGACCTGCTCAAGTGTAAGGCAGGAGCAGAGGTCACCCGGTCAAAGCTCCCGGGCTCGCCTTTCAGCCGCCTCACCCTTCTAGGCTGCCCTAGGAAATATGGTTTAGTGTTTCTTAGTCGTAGAGTATGCAACCTCTAACCTTTTTGGGGTAATAGAATCCCCTTTTAATCCCACAGGTTGCACTTTAGTTCTTTTAGGTACTGGACAACTAAGGTTTTGTATACAACCCAAGAAAATAAGATGTTATGTTGATGATGGTTCTCAGGGGGCTGTCGACCCAGGTCGTCCTTCCTCAGCGAGAACAGCTTGCTTGATGGTGAGAGCTTTCAGGACTTTGACTATGGTGCTATATGGTCTGACTAGTAGAGTAGGTAACCTTTTTTAACTTTTTTTGGAGGTAATATAACCCCCTATAATCCTATAGGTTAACCTTTGGTCCCCCCAGGTTACTGGACAACTAAGTGGTGCTATTGGGCTTGGAACGGCCTCAGGGTGTGCAATAGGCCCTAGTAAATAGCTGGCACCCGCCGAATGCTTTGCTTTGGCGCAGCAGGTAGATGAAGTTTGTTTCCTTTGTCCGAGACTTTGAGATATGGGAGCTTCCAGACATTAGGGTGCTTTCTTTCCCTTATGTCCTTCAAAATTCGTAGGACCCCACCGTGGATCCCTAATTTTCGGAAAACCGTAGACGAGTTCCTTGAGGGCCGCCGAAGAAGCTGAACGAGTGCTCCTCCTCAGCGAAAACGCCTAAAGGCCCAAAACCCACGGGTCCTGTATAGATATTTTGGGATGTCTTGTTGATTTGAAGTTGCCCATCAAAGAGCTTCTGCTCGTTTTAATCGTTTTCCCAGTCAGGTGCCCTGCAGTAACCCTAAACCCTAAACCCTACACCCTAAACCCCAAACCCTAAACCCTAAACCCCAAACCCTAAACCCTAAACCCTAAACCCTAAACCCTTCGGTAATCTTCGGTCGACTTGTGAGTGGGGAGCTCTTTCAGTTCAGTGAGCGCCTCGTAAGGGGTGGATGGTGGCAATATGCAAAAGTCCGACTCACTTTTAAAAAGGAAACCTAAACCCTAAATCCTAAACCCTAAACCCTAAACCCTAATCCCTAAACCCTAAACCCTAAACCCCCAATTCCCTGCAGGAAGCAGAGGTCGACCACGAGGTGACCCGCAGGTGGGACCCAGGGCCCCAAACCCAGTCTGTAAACGGGATTTTAGGGTTTAGGGTTTAGGATTTGGGGCTAGGGTTTAGGGTTTAGGGTTTAGGGTTTAGGGTTTAGGGCTAGGGTTTGGAGTTTAGGGTTGCTCAGAGCCTGGGTTCAACAAGGGTTTTAGGGTTGATGGTTTAGGGTTTGGGGCTACGAACCGAGCTCAGGGAGGCCTTCCAGGGTCTACTGCAAAAAAACGTGCTGCTGCTGAGAGGTTCATGTGGTTGAAAAGTAGGGGGTTTTGGGTTTTGGGTTTAGGGTTTACGGTGGGATATAAGAGACCCATGACATGTGCCATGAACCTCCAAGTAGGCTCGTGAGACTTGGGGCTTTAAGGTTCTTTTTAGGGTCTTTCGAGCTACAAGCTTCAATCCTCAAGTCTGAACCCTAGGGTTTTAGGGCTTTTATGGTTATAGGGCCGCAGGGCTCTTAGAGATTTCGCCAAAGTTTCTGAAACTTGCACTACCAGGGTTTAGGGTTTAGGGTTTTAGGGTTTGGGGTTTAGGGTTAACCCTAAACCCTAAACCCTAAACCCTAAACCCTAAACCCTTTAGGGTTTCGGGACCCCTCCCACGTGTTCCTTTTCAGTGTCTGAGAGGCGCCTCTCCCTCGTCGACCGCATGCAGCACGATCATCTGATTCTGGACCTCGGGTGTAGGGTTCAGGGTTTAGGGTTTAGGGTTAGGGTTTAGGGTTTAGGGTTTAGGGTTTAGGGTCTAGGGTTTAGGGTTTAGGGTTTAGGGTTCCGAGCGCCCTGAAGCAGCTGAACACGTCTTGCGAGTCGACGGATGAGGTCGCGCTTCTGTTTGAGGCGGGGGGGCCGGGCAACATCAGCAAAATTGTGGCGCGTGCAGGATCCAACTGCAATCCCAACTGCTTCCCGCCGCCTCATGAGACTTGACTGCACATCAGTTTCAAGAACAGGAAGAAGAACAGGAAGAAGAGGAAGAAGAAGAAGACGCCGCCGCAGCGGCAACAACAGCAACAGCAGTCACCACAACGGCGACGATGACACCAACCGCACGGTGGGCGTCGTAGTTCTCACAGTTCTAAACTTGGCGAATCTCAGGGATTCCGATACCCCTTGTTTAAGAAAGATTCCTTAAAATATAGAAGGGTTCCTTCTGTATTTTAAGGAATATTCCTTAATCAAGGAGTATTGGAGTCTCTGGTGACTGCAGGTACTACCCTCCCCCGAATTTTTACCCCCCCCCCCCCTAATATGAACTACTCCCAGGAAAGCCATTCGAGTACATCGGGGGGGGGGGGGGGGGGGGTGTTTTAAAATTTGGGGGTAGGGTGGGTTAATATTAGGGGGAGGGGGTTGCAGCTTTTGAATTCAGCCAGTCGCCAGGTTTTTGGTAAGCCTTCTGAGTGCTCGATTCCTTGAGCTTCACGTGGCCTGTAATTAGGTAGAGCACTGAACCTAAACCCTAAACCCTAAACCCCAAACCCTAAACGAGCCGGCATGGAAGCTAAGGAATCACACCAAATCTGCGTTCTTCATCCAGAATGCAGATGGCGCAACGCTCTACTACAAGTGGGTGCCAAGCCTTTCGGCGAGTCTTGTAAAGGAGGGTCCAGGGAGCTCTTATTCCCTCTCAATTGGGTTTAGGGTTTAGGGTTTAGGGTTTAGGGTTTAGGGTTTAGGGTTTAGGGTTTAGGGTTTAGGGTTTAGGGTCTCAATGAAGGAATGTACCTTCCATCACAATAAGGACCCCGTTTCGGCTTATGGAACCCTTCCGGGGTCCTTATTAGTTTAAGTAGGCTTGGTGGCCCAGTGGTACCCTTTTCCCTTTGTGTCGGTTCAAGGTTCGTTCCCTTATACAGTAGCCCACCAAAAAAGGGCGCGTTACGTGGCCACTCTGAGACCCGAGACCTCCAAGGCAAACCCTCAACATCCCTAAACCCTCTCCCATTGTGGAATTCCTGCACATTTCATGGGGTTTCCCGAAATTGAGCCTGTTTTAGGGGGTTTAGGTTGTTTTTTTGGTATGGGGGGTCCCTGTACCTGTGTCGTGGGGTAGGTTTTTTTGCAAAACGCGCTGGAGGGTTGAGAGTTTAGGGTTTCTAAAAATGCCCGGAGATGGACACCTCTTCGTTTGGGAAATCGCAATGTACCTCAAACCACAGGGGGGTCCTTAAGATGATTTAAGGTATCTTCCTGAAATTGAAGGGCCCTAAACCCCTAGAACCCTAAGCCCTATTGGCTCAGAACGCAACTCCGAAATGCCCAACAAGGCAGGCGATTAATTCCAGTGCTGCCGATTAGCTTCCGGCTCCCAAGCCTTGCAGTGTCTGCTTTAGGCTTTAGGGTTTATATGGCTTGGGGGGGGGGGGGGGGAGGTTTAGGGTTAGGGGGTTTAGGGCTAGGGCTTTAGGGTTTAAATAGCGGGGGGAACAGGTTGAGAGGCTAGGGGGGTTGGGGGTCTAGGGTTTATAGGGCTTTAGCTTTTGCTTGGCAACCCGGGCCACACAACAGGGTATGCGCGCGTGGTCGGAAACATGTCGGAAGAACCTAGGAAAACAAAGGGTGCCCCGTTTTTGACGGGTTTCTAAAGGGAACCTAAGCCCATCCAAGAAATGGGAAGAAGGCCCGACTGTGGGTCGTAGATGACATCAACGACCAGAGGCTCAGACTGCAAGGCACTGACCATTTCCCAATCAAAGAAACCAAAGAAGTTCATTCAGGGACATTTTGTTGTTTCTGTTCCACGAGTTTTTTTTTAATAACTTAAGCCATTGTTCCATGTATCGTTCTCAATATTTCAGTGAGGTGTTGGCGACATTGCATATTTCCCTCATTGAGTTTAAGAGGAATCTATTTAGGAATATGTTTCAGCGGGCTTTGAGGGCCATCCTAGATATAAAGAACCTGCAGCTGTGCTGGAGGCTACCAGATGCGGAAGCAGCACAGCCTGCATCGCCTCTTCGCCTAGGGTTTAATTAGGGTGTAGGGTTTAGGGTGCAGGGTGAAGTTTCAGAAGGCTAAAAGGGTTTCGGGATCTTTGTGATGGTTCATGGGTAGTTCTAAGTAGGGTCTTAAGTACCCTAATGTAGGGTTCTAAGTCGAGGTGCCATACCCTAAACCCTAAACCCCTACTTCTAGCTACCCATGAGCCGCTAAGTTGGCCGCACCCGCGCGGAGCTCACTTCATGGGTTGAGAAAGGGTTTGGGGGTTTAGGGTGTTTGGGGTTAGGGGTGTAAGGTTTGGAGGTTAGGGGTTTAGGGTTTGGGGTTTGGGGTTGGCATGTGGGCATTGTTCTGGTGCATTGGGGCACTTTTTTGGGCCCTTGTTGCACAGAATCCTACGGCAGAGGCGCCCGAGAATGACCCCCATACTAGCAAAGGTTATTGGCGTCGCAGGGGTTAGTGCAGAATGCATATGAGACAAGTCACTTCTTGGATAAGTGCCGTACTTGAGGTTCAAGGGTAGTTGTAAGTAGGGGCAGAAGTGCTCTAAAAGCAGGGTTCGAAGATGTTCGAAGTATAGTTGCCATACTTACAACCCTACTTATAAGTAATGAATCATGAACATGCAAGTTTTGGTACTAGGGCCTAGTCTTGCCAGGATGCCCAGTGGTGTTCAGCTTCGTCAGGGAGAGGATCCCTCATCCACCCCCGAAATGCAAAACAAGGGGACGCCGAGCCTCTTCTTAGGCAATTGGGCAACCTGGGGTATCTACATCCTGAACCAAAATCCTGAACCAAAAACCCCAAAACCCACAATGTCTACACACGTACTTGGAGGTTAATTTGGGTAGTTATTCGTAGGGCTCGAAGTACCCCCAAAGTCGGGTTATAAGTATCGTTACCATACTTTTAAACCCTACTTTAACTACCCAAATGAACCTCCAAGTAGCCCTAAACCCTAAACCCTAAACCCTAAACCCTAAACCCTAAACCCTAAACCCTAAACCCTAAACCCTAAACACCAAGGATTCCTCGAGTCCCCGATGCGGGAGCATGCGGAGGAGAGCCTCTCTTTGTCGCCGCCTTCGGAATGCATTGGGGCGTAGGGTTTAGGGTTTAGGGTGTTTTGGGGTTGAGGGTTTCGAGTTGAGGCAAAAGGGTTTAGAGATTAGGGTTTGAAAAAGAGAGTTCAAGGGCTAGTTTACTGTAAGGTTCCCGGTTTAGGGTTCAGGGTTTAGGGCGACAGGTTTAGCTTCTGGGGCAGACGAGGGTTTAGGGTTTAGGGTTTAGGGTTTAGGCTTTAGGGTTTAGGGTTTAGGGTTTAGGGTTTAGGGTTTAAGGTTTAGGGTTTAAGCCCAAACCCTAAGCTAGGCTGGGCTCAACAGGTTTGTGGGGTTTCAAGGCCAAGGTGCTACTTACAACGACCCTAGAACCTGTAGGGTTTAGGGGTTTAGGGTTTGGGGTTTAGGGTTTAGGAAGAGAATTTTCCAAGGAAGAGAATGAATTTGGAGGGGGTTCTGCGCGCTCACTAAGAAATACAGCATGCAGCTTTGATCGGGGGTGCATGTGTGCACCATCTCACTTCATACTGCCTATACTTCACCCTAAACCCTTAGCCCTAAACCCTAAACATCTTTGACTAACTTTCTACTGAAACCACATGGACATGCCTGGTCAAGCACACAGACCGACAGGAGCGGGAAGGGGCCGTGTGATTTCCGGGTTGTGACTTTAGGGTTTAGGGTTTAGGGTTGACATGCATATCCAGCTGTGTACTTCTTGGAAGCAGCCCCACTGCCTGACCTGAGCATCTTGTGGCCGCAGTCAGAACTTGGGCCATTGTGCAATCTGACCTTTTCCCCGTAAACGCATGCGACACGGGTGGGGGGAAAAAACCTATAAAACCCTAACCCCTAAACCCTAAACCCTAAACCCTAAACCCTAATCCTAAACCCTAAACCCTAAACCGTATAAAGTATGTCTCTTCCATCATAATGAGGGGGCCAATCTATGGACTGTACAACCCGAGCCGGCCCCGCCCTAAACAGATTCAGGGCTTCTAGCGTTTAGGGTTCAGGGTTTAGGGTTTAGGGTGTAGGGTGTAGGGTGTAGGGTGTAGGGTGTATCCAAGAGCTTGTCCTACTGGGGCGGGAGTGCCCGGTTTTTATCATGCGCTGCCTCGCTGAGGCCAGATGTTCAGCTCCTCACTTGCGCCCAGAACTATTCATAGGGTTTAAGTTTGGGGTGTAGGGTTTAGGGTTCAGGGTTTAGGGTTTAGGGGGTTCAAGGGGGGTATACAACCCAAGGTTCCCTACTGCTCCCTAAGGCTCCTTAAGCTTCTGTAAGGCTTTAGGGCGGTTGCGTATACTTGGAGGTTCATGCGTAGTGATAAGTAGGGTTTTAAGCATGGTAACTGAACTTCTTACCCCATTTGGGGGGGCGGGGTCCTTCTATAGCCCTACTTACTCCTTCCCATGAACCTCCAAGTAGTTCTGCAAGGGTTCGCAAAGGGTTCTTGGGATCATGGTGTTGATCCCCTTCATGCTCTTGAGACAGTGCTGGCGCGAGGCTTCCAGGTTCTCGAGGTCACTTGAACTGTCCTTTGCCAGTAAGTACCGCGTAGGGAGCCAGGGGAGCCCATTTTTAATATTCTCCAGGAATTTTTGCATGAGTTTAACAGAAGAGCCCCGATGTATACTAGGGCAACTAGCAGGGAGTCCACTTTCTCAAGGAATTTTATTATTACTATTCTTCTTCTGCTTCTTATGATGAATAGAAGAGCCCCTATGTATGTATACTAGGGCCGAGTCCTACAAGCGGAGCCGGGCTCTCTGCCAAAGTCCTCTGCCGATGCTTCTGTCGGGAAGGTCTCCCGTGAACATGTTAGGTATGTGTGTTTGACTGCTTTCCGTTCAAGTGGTTTTAGGGTTTAGGGTTTAGGGTTTAGGGGTATGTGTGAAGTCTTACTGAAGCGCTATGATGGATTTTCCATCGTGTTTTTGATCACGCAGGATACCTTGGAGACCGCTGTCTCAGTTTGCTCCGCAGTGCGTGGCAGAACCAACGCTGCCTTCCTGAGGTTGTTTGAGAAGTTCCTGAACGATCATAACATCGAAACGGCAGCTCCGAAGCATTGGCACATCAGCACCGTATTTCAGCATGAACATCGGCTGGCCCACGTTGGGGCGGCCACTTCTGCCACTAATCAGCTGGAAGTCCCAAAATTAGCTGAGTTAGGGATTCTGCCACAAATCATAAATGACGGCTGTGTAGGGAAGTATTGGCCATTTCGGGAGCCTAGCCAAGGCAAAATTCGGCGTGGATCTGGCAAAGTCATTGGCTGCACTTGCGGCCGAGGTCCCTTGACCACGGCAGTCGCTGTCCCATCTTAGATTCATCGAAAACCCCTATATACTCCTAGTGATCTACTTCTGACCGCCTAAATACTTCAATCTTGGCACCCTCTCTCTTCACCCTCTTCAACCCTTCAAGCCTTGGCCACATCGGGTCTTGCCGGGGTCAAATCATGTATCAACTGGGGTGCCACTTCCATCTTCCACCCCGGCCACAGATCTGCTTACGGCGCAAGCAAACCCTGAATCAAACGCTCAACTCTAAACCGGAATCCTAAGCTCTAAACAGACTCTAAACCCTTGAGCTACCCCTTCTGTGTCTTGAAGGTGCACAGTGGGGCATCACGGCTTATGTGCCCTGGCATACATAGCGCCTGCGTGCTTTTGACCGGAAAAGCCGTAGCAAAAGGGCGGCTTCACAATGTTGCAGCATTTGTAAGCAGAGTGCTTCTCATGCGAGAGTGCGGATTGACGTTTGACTCGGTGTTGCTGTGGAATCTGCATGTTTGCCTTGTTGCGCGGCTGTTGAGTTGCATTTCGTAGCGTACACGCAAAATGACATGCCTGAGGGGGCTTGATGGGAGAGCTGAATACACCTCAGTTCAGGAATGTTCACCTTGAACCATATAGAGCATTCCTTATGACAAACCAGTTGGGCTAGATTCCTGATGGTGTGCTGAGCCCTAAACCCTAAACCCAAAACCCTAAACCGCTATTGGTTCGTCCAGCTATGCGGGTGCCAAACAAAACCACTATTGGGCTCTGAGGGCCCTGATCGGACAGATGCCCCAAAGCTGGTCATATCCCAGGTTGGACGCAGCAAAGCACAAGCCTCCTGGCTGTATTAGGGTTTCGGGTTTAGGGTTTAGGGTTTCGGGTTTAGGGTTTAGGGTTTAGGATTTAGGGTTTAGGGTTTACCATTCATGGAGATCAAAGACCCGCGCGGATCTGAGCTGTGTCCGTGGCTTGGAAGTGATTTGGGAGCATCCTTTAAGGATCGCTTCTACGAAAAGACATGCAAACCCTAAACCCTAAACCCCAACCCTTGAGAAGCCTTGCTCGGCGAGCGACGGAACCCCTAATTCTAGACCCTTAACCCTGCACTCTATCTACCCTGAACCCTAAACCCTAAACCCTTGTAACACCCTAAACCCTAAACCATAAGCGGCTATGGCTCAAGATTGAGCTTAGTGACGGACGCAAGCGGGCAATTTCCGTACACAGCTTACAGCATACACATTTCACAGTACACATGTCACATCTGATCACATGTCGTACTTTACGATTAGAGACATCTCTGTTGCAGTGGAGTAGATAGCGCATTGCACGAGATCTCAGATTGTATCTTTATTGATAGGACAAAGCTCTGAAGTGTTTTTGTTGTTTTTTGGCCGAATATGTTGATGCTTGGCTCCTTCCGTGTGTTTTTGGGTGTTTTGGTGGGCTGGCGTCGTGGTAATGAAGTGGCACGTTTTAATCGCGACGAGGGTTGTGAGGAAGAAGCTAACGAGGTTCACGAGGTGGGTGCGCATTTGAATCGCGAGCAGGCACTCGTGGAACCTCGATCCGCTGTTCCGAGCAAGGATTGTGTCGGATTGTCGGGCTACGACAACATATTCGGCTGCTGGCATGTCTCGGAAGAGGGTGAGATGCAGGCGCGTGGATTCTACGCTCGGCTTCACCGCACCCCACGACTGGGGCGCAAGGCTTTTGTGCTGAGGTGTCCGATGACATGTCCGACGCCGCCTTCGCCTGGGTGTTTCTATGTAGGTGGCATCCTCCTCGCGTCGGGGCCAAGGTCAATTTGCGAACTCGGACTTTTGCTCATCCAGTCTTCTCCAGAAGAGCTATTTTTTGAGGCGCACGCAGCCACTGTCCCCGAGTGGTTTGGTGTCTCGGAGAAGGCATAATTACTTTGGTAGCCGGACGTTGATGCTCGTTTCATGAAGCATCACACGCGTCAAGGTCTTGTTAGTGCATGGTGTGAGGACACTGCAAAATGTGTTCAGGGCACGGTGTGCGTCCCCCTGTCATACGCGGCAAGCCGAACACCCAGGCCTTCTATAAGTCGCGGAAGGGGCGCAACCGGCTTATGCACGCGCTCAACGGCAACACGACTGTGGCGGTGACAGATGGGACCTCGAGGAAGAAGCTGCGCCTTGACTAAACTGACGCAGCGGTCGCGCCTTACTCGAAGGCTAAGGCTCGGCCCAGGCTGTTGGAGCCAGGCGATGCTCGTTTTGCAAGGGGTGTGCTGAGTCGGTCGTGAGCGAGGCGACTTCTGCTGCTGCCGTGTCTTCGGCTTCTCGTGAACCTGGGGCCGGTTCGACCAGCAAACCCCTGCGGTTTTTGCGGCTGCGTCTCCTGACCGAGGAAATTTTTGATTTGATTTCCCGCGCATTCAAGCAAACATGGATGCTGCGAAGAGGAAGCGTGACCGGGAGCTGGAGAGACCGGACGCGAGCGCGCTTCTGGAGAGCAGGCCGCGTGTGTCGCTGGTTCTTACCGAAGGTTTGGTGCAGAGCTTGACCCTCGAGCAGCCGCCTCCCATTGGGGGAAGAATGATGGATAGTCAAATGTGCTATGCTGGGGATGGTTACTAGGTTGCACCGTCATTTCTCCCTTGCCCGTAATGGTTCCTGAAGCTTGAAGCTGGCACTGTGGAGAAGTACTGAGGGGGCGTGTCCTGGGAAGAGTAGTATCACCATGCAAGTAGTGTCACTGAATTGGCGATCTAGATGAGCTGGCATCACCTTGCCGATCTTAGCCGTATGCGCTGAGGGGGCCGGTGTCAGGGTTCTGGGACAGTGTGTGCCTCGCCTGGCTTGTCCGAGTGTGAGCGATGAAACCCTAACCCTAAACCCTAAACCCTAACCCCTGAACCTTGGTTGCAATTTAAGTGGCCTCCTCGGATCGCCTGTGGCTTTGAGCCGGGGTTTTGGGATGAGGCACTGTCGCTCCAGCGGCATGGGAATTAGGGTTAATATAAGGTTCAGGGTTGAGGGACCAGGGTTTAGGGTTTAGGCAGGGTTTAGGGTTGTGTCTCCGTCTTGAGTACAAGGTTTAGGGATTTCCCCTTGGTTATCATGCCCGGGTATGCTTCAAGGGCAGGGATATGCCTTAAGAGCTTGAACAGAAGGTAGGGTTTGGGGTTTAGGGTTAGAGCAACATGATCCATTGGGGCCACTAAGCCCGGGGACGGAGATTGAAAGGGAACCAGCTAGGTTTTTTTTCGCAGTTGCTGCCATGAGAAGCACGCAGGGGGTCTTTTTCTTTCGGTTTAGGGTGACCCTTCCGATGATTTGCTGCGGGCGCTAGGGCTGTGCACCAAAAACTGTATGTCAGGAAACTCGTGCGTGTGGTGGACGTGGTTGTGCTCAAGCTCTATGCTGCCGCCTCAGGTGATGAAGTAGTGTGCAGAAGAAGCGGCGTTTTCCCTCAAAGCTTCCCTCTTGGTACCAGATGGTGTATGGCGTATGCTGGGTTACCTCAACACGAAACCCCGAATTTTAAACCCTAAACCCTAAACCCTAAACCCCTGTAGCCCTAAACCCTAAACCCTAAACCCTGAGCCCATTCGGGTTTATGTGAGGGAGCCTTGTAAGCTGCCTGTGAGCGAGACCTGGCTGCTGGCCCAGGATGATGAAGACCGGCTTCTCGTCGACATGGAGGACGCCCGGCAGAGGGCTTTAGGGTTTAGGGTTTTAGGGTTTTAGGGTTTTAGGGTTGTAGGGTTTTAGGGGTTTGGGGTTTTAGGGTTTTAGGGTTTTAGGGTTTTGGGGTTTTAGGGGTTTTAGGGTTTTAGGGTTTTAGGGTTTTGGGGTTTTGGGGTTTTAGGGTTTTAGGGTTATACTCATCAAGTTGATCTAGGGGTCGGAATAATTACTAGTAGCACCCTCGTGCTCACTGTATACTTATACCACAATAACCTCCCAAAAGCCCTGTTCTAATTAAATAAGGAAGTATGCCCGTAAGCCTTCTAAAGAGCCCCATGATATTTTAAGGAGTATCCCGTAGTTATGGGGTATTGGAGTCCCTGGGAAGACACAGGGCCAATGCCTTTCCGTCCCACCAGCTTCTGTGTAAGAACCCTGAACCCTCGTGCAGTTTCTCTCCTAAACCCCTACGGCCCTACTAGGAGATTCTTGGGTATAGTTATAAGTATGGTAACTACACTTATAACCCTACTCAGGGTACTTATAACCTTATACAACTACCCGAACGAACCTTCAAGTAGTAGCCCTAAACCCGAAACCCGAAACCCTAAACCCTAAACCCTACTTACAACTACCCATGAACCTCCAAGTAAGAGTCTGCTGCAGAGGAGCACTTCTCGGATGGGCGCCGGCGGCCAACACGACGGCTTCCCGGTTCGAAGAAGGACGGGGCGGTGCCTCCAAGACACTGTGGTTTAGGGTTTAGGGTTTTAGTTTTTGACCCAAAGAGCCCAATAAGGCATGTATTCCTTACTTAAGGGGTACATGCACTTTGGGAAAGCCTTTCGCCTAAACCCTAAACCTCCTTGAAGGGCAAACAATGCATGTGCATGGTGGAAACCTAAACCCTAAACCCTAACCCCTAACCCCTAAACCCTAAACCGGGATGACAAACCAGGACCAAAGCTGACCACCAGACTAGGATGCTGCAGTCAGCAGTTTCGTTCTAATGACACCTCTGGGTCATTGTTGAAAAATATTTAACCTTCTTATGAATACTTAAACCCAACAAGGAACCAAAATGATCATGTTGAGATTCTTTACCTTTTATGAATACTTAAACTCAATAAGGAACCAAATTGATCATTTGTAAATAGTACCCCAAACGGTGCAGACCTCGTTCGTATGCAACCTCATGTTCGCAGTGCAGGAGACAACAGAGAATGTCCGCCAAACTGCCGAGCGAATCTTGGAGGACGCCTGGCACGCCGCAGTAAACCCTAAGCCCTAAACGCTAAACGCAGCCAAAAGAGAGCAGGCCTACCGACCCAGAATGGCCCCTGAGCCCCCCACGGTATAGCAATCCAACAAGATCCCCTCAGTGAAACCCACCTTCTCCTAAACCCTAAACCCTAAACCCTAAACCCTAAACCCTAAACCCTAAACCCTAAACCCTAAACCCTAAACCCTAAACCCTAAACCCTAAACCCAAGAAAGGGTTCGCATGTGCCGTAAGTTGTTGAGGAGACGCTGAACCTGGATCCTTCCATGGCATCTCGGAGCGGAGTCAGGTCCTCTCATGTAGGGTGTAGGGTGTAGGGCTTAGGGTTTAGTGTTTAGGCGACTTCTGTCGCACCATCATACCCAGGGACTCCAATACCCTTGAATTAAGGGAGATGCTCCTTAGAATATAAGAGGGTTTAGGGTGTAGGGTTGCTGGTTTATAGGGTTTATGGAATACTCCCTAAAATACATGAGGGTTCTTGACATGGTTCAAGGAATATTCCTTAATTTTAGGAGTGTGGGAGTCTGTCGGTACTCAATGAGTTACCATTACCGTTCCCCTTAGGCCTGGTTGCCCAGTGGAACCCTTTTGCCCTTTTTTTAGTTCTAGGTTCCCTTACAAAAGTAACCAACCCGAAGACAGAGTACCCTTCTTATGATACAGTCACCAGGCTACAAGTAGAGTTTCTGAAGTCCCTAAAGAAACGGCCCCAAACTAACAGTCCCTAGTAGGGATTATAATCGGGGATACTATAGTAAGGGCCGTCAGTATAAGGGGGAACATCCCAATACATTAGCTCTACGACTTGGCTTTGTGTTATCCAGTGCATCCGCAGGCGGAGCACTCAGCCGAACTGAGTTGCAGAGGTTGGAGCTGCTAAGGAGCTCCAGACCCCTTAGCTAAGGAATACACCTTTTTCGCTAGATAGGGATCCTTGTCGTTTTTTGTATATGCTTAAGACTATACCTTACACCATGCCTCGAATCCCGACATGTTTAGGAAGGACCCATGTGGATCTGATTGTCTCTTGCTCCCTGAACAAAAAGCACCTGCTATGGCTAGGTTCCCCAGTTGTGCCATTCTTTCCTCTTGGCGAGTTCCCTTATTACACCTAAACCCTAAACCCTAAACACTAAACCCTAAACCGCAGTGCTGCAGAAAGTCCAATGAAACCGAAGAAAGGTCGGCGGTTCGGTGACCCTTCTTGGACCTTTGCGAAATGAAACCCAGAGAGCCTTATACTTTAGTGTTTGTGGTTCAGGGTTTAGGGTTTCGGGTTTAGGCTTACTTCAGCTACATGTTTAAGAAACTGTCACGTCTGCCCTGTCATGTCGCGAACCGCCAGAAGTGCAGAATACAAAGATTGCAGGATCTGAGTCCGACATGCGCATAGAAGCTGAGGTGTCTCTGAACCTCCATCTCGTCAGCAACCAGGTCCCTGGATGGTGAAGTTAGTTGATTTCTACCATTTGCTTAAGAACCCCAAAAGAATAACAAAATATCAATCATCCCGATATGACCCTTATAATTATAAGGAAGAATCGTTTTTTTTTTGGGGGGGTTCTTAAGCAACCATTCAGTGGATTTGAGTTCACCAATGGGTCGGAGGTTAGGCGACGTGTGGGCCAGTCGTGTCGATCAGTCAGTGTCACGGCCGGAACCATGAGACTCCAATACTCCTCTTCAGGGGTATTGCAGTCCCTGAAAATCTCAAATCACACCCCCAGTGCAAAGTCCGCGATATTGATGGCAACCTTGGGTTTATTGCATCACCCTTCTTCCGGGGTTTAGGGTTTGCATCACCCTTCTTCGGGGGTTTAGAATTTGCATCACCCTGCTTCGGGGGTTTGTGCGAGAGCCTGGGTTCAAAGGGTTTAGGGCAGTGTCCTGAAGCCTGTTGCAAGCCTACTCCTTGGTTGCCCAGTGGTACCCTTAACAGTTTTTTTGGTTATGGGCTGTTATGAAGTAACCAACCCAAAAAAGGGTGCCCTCACTGTAATATGGGCTACCAAGGCTCAATGAGCTGTGCTGATGGCATGTCACAGTGTGCAGGCAACACCCGGGCGCGCCAGAAGCCAAAGCCACGAAAATGGGTTCAAGGCTCTAGAGCAGACAGAATTTGTTTCAACAGGGTGTAGGGTTTTAACCAAGAATAATGTTATGATTAGCAATAGTAATATTAACAACATTTGAGCAAAAATAATAGCAAGAAAACTAATATCAATAAGAAGAATAGTCGGGCTTAGGGTTTCCTACAGGACTTCCCAAAGACGTCTTGAAAGACGTCTTGGCTTGTTGCAGGAGTGCATTTTGAAAGTGCACGTAGCATGGCATGCACGGTGCCGCTCCGTCTAGTCCTCCACATCCAACCCAAAGTCCTAGAATGGTTTAGGGTCCATAGGGTTTAGGGCTTAGGGATTGTTCAAAAGGGGCTAGGGTTTAGGGTTTAAGGTTTAGGGTTTAGGGTTTAGGGTTTAGTTCCGACACACAGTGGTGCGTTGAACCAAGGAGGAGGAGTTGGACTCGCCATCCTATCCTGGCCTGCGCACGGTTTATCGAAACACAGCTGCCACGTTGGTTTTTCTCATCAAGTTACCCTACTTGGAGGGGTTTCGGGTTTAGGGTTTAGGGTTATTCTCATGAATATAATTTTATAGGGGCCGGAACAATTGTTGATCGTCTTCCCTTGTGGTCCCTTTTCTATACGGTATTAACCCCCCCCAAAAAAACAAACATTCAAATTATTTAGGCCCCTTGAGTACTCTACTTGGAGGCATTGTTGGGCGCAATGAGTCTACTTGTATCCCTTAGAAACCCTGCCCAGAACCCAACTTACGAACACTACATCCTAAAGTCCCAAGAGCTTCCGAGCAAACATACGTGAGTTTAGAATCAGTTGCTGCGAGGAGTTGCAAGGACACGATTGTAACATAGTAGCAGAGTAGATAGCCTTTAACTTTTGGGGTATATTTAATCCTACCAGAAGTGAAAGGTTAGCCTTTTTTTGGCCCAGGATACTCAGCAACTAGGGTCAGGGCCATGTCGTGCATCAGCAGCTTGAAATGGTGACGTTGCCGGCGTTGCAGTGAACACTTGATGAGCAGCGACGCCTTCGCTCAGAACTACGACAGCAAACGAATCAATGAGAGCTTGCCCTTTGTCAGACCTCATAAACACTGGTGTCCCGCCCCGCCCACAGCATAAGAGCCGAACTTTGAGTTTGCCGAGCTTTGCATCTGCATCTGAGGAAAGGAGATTGTAAGAGGAGTTGTGGAAACCGAGGACTGACAACCCGAAGCCAATGCAGACCTTGAGCCCTAAACTAGAAGCCCTAAACCGTTTCAGATGCACTCCGATTGCACGGGCCCATGCAGAAGGTCTGGCGCTAGAGTGCTAGATGAGGCCCTAAACCCTAAACCCTACACCCAAAACCTCAATGTCCTTGCTTCATGAGCGCTGTTTTTTACGACACCAAGGGCCGGCATTCTTGCACTCACGCCTTGGTAGCCTAGGGTTTCGGTTTTAGGGTTTTAGGGTTTAGGCTTTAGGGTTTTAGGGTTTAGGGTTTAGGGTTAGGGTGTAAGGTTTGGGGTTTGGGCAGTTACGAGGTAGCCCAGCTGAACCCTTGTTTTGGTTCAAGGTGCCCGTATAAAGTAGCCAACCAAGAAAAGGGTGCCCTTCTTTTAAGGTGGTTGCTGGGCTACCAAGATGCAGACATCATTGGCAGCCCAGCACGCCGAATATCTACCTTGATCGGCCTTAGACTTGGTCTAGGTTTTGGAGTACTGTACTTTAATACTTTTTTTGGTTCTGGTTCCCTATTATAGCTACGTACTTAATACCTAAAAAGTTTATGCTTTTTCCCCGGGCCTGCTCCAAAGTAGGGTGGTTCGGGGGTCTCAGTAATTTCTTGGCCATGGGGATATGTTATGTTTCCCTTCTGTGGTTTAAGAGGACCCTATTCAGGAACATCTTTGAGAGGGCTTTGCGGGCCATCCTAGGGTAGGGTTTAGGGCTTAGGGCTTAGAGGGCTTAGGGCTTAGGGTTCAGAGGGCTTATAATATAGGGCTTAGAGGGCTTAGGGTTTAGGGCTTAGAGGGCTTAGGGCTTAGGGTTTAGGGCTTAGGGCTTAGGGTTTAGGGCACCTGAGCCAAGGGGACATGAAGCATCAAGTCGAGGGCTCCAACACCCAAGCCCTCCACCCTGAACTTAGAGATACAAGGGGGAACATTTTTTGCTTCTTGGGGGTACCTTTAATTCCTGAGAAGCAGCCCTAGCCTAAACTTCTAAACTTCTAAACCCTAAACCCTAAACCCTAGACCCTAGACCCTAAACCCTAAACCCTAAACCCTAAACTCAGTTAAGCTGAAGAGGACCCCGAGCTGCAAAAGAAGTTCGGCCTCGGGAGAGAAACCAGTGGCTGGCGAGCCACCGAGAGAGGCTGCACCAGGCGGGGGTTTAGGGTTTAGGGTTTAGGGTTCAGGGTTCAGGGTTCAGGGTTTAGGGTTTAGGGTTTAGGGCTTCGGGGCTCACCTTCCCTCAGTTAAGGAACTATTGCCGGCTTCAGCGTCTAGATGCCCATATGGTTGACGGACCTCTTTGGTTCTACAGGTAGTTTCGTCGGCCCTTACTGTGGTCTCGTACCTTCTTCAAAGGGTTCTGAAGTATGGGCCCTTGGGTTGTATAGGTATATAAGGGTCCCTTGTCAGGGCCCATACTACGGGACCATGCTATTAACTTAAGATTAGTTAAGGGATGATCTTGGGCTTTCTGGGTTGGTGTGACCCAAGGACAGTTCTGGGAGTTGTGAGTTGATTGGGATGTTCCCCCTTATGCTAGCTGCCCTTGATGGGGATACAAAGAGGGTACTCTAATCCCTATTAAGGACTGTTAGTACAGGGGGGAACATCACGAGTAGTTGTTCTCAAGGTCCATCTGGGATAGTTGTTCGGGGTTCCTATGTGGTTTACAGGTTTTTTTGCAGGGAACATGTACTTTGATCAGCTGCCATATGGAGCCTAAGGAATGTTTGAGAGTATTGTCTTGTTGGGGTTCTAAGAGGCGTATAGAGAGGCCCGATGCCACATTTTTTCACTTGCTAGCCTGAAGCCCTACAAACCCTTGCTTTAAGCGAACCAGTGACCTTTACACCCGAAACCGTAAACCCCAATCCCTTACTTTCTATCGGACCTGCAACATGCCTGCTGGTCTACTATCTGCTTAAAGAAGAAGCCATTCTAAGGAAGAATATCTTTTTTTCATTTTTAGGGGGGGTTCTGAACCATGCCGGCCTTACTCCCACCCAAAATACGGCCCAGTCTCCCTTCCTTAGGCCTTACGTGGGGTGCTTGGAAGCCCTTGTGGCTTCGTAAGCCTACTTGGTATCCCCTAGACACCTTGTTGTAATCCAACTTACTAACCCTACTTTCTAAGTTCAAAAAAGGCTTCCAAGCAGCTGGTGGTGACGTCGGAAGCCCTAAACCCTTAACCCTCAACCCTTAAACCCTAAACCCTGCAATCACCACAGGTACCTCCAGTGGATGACGGAGCCGGAAGCTATTGCTGCTCGGACGCGCGTTCCGGTTTAGGGTTTAGGGCTCGTCAGTTGGGTAGGGTTTCTAGGGGTAGTAAGGAATATACCTTAAACCATATAGGCATCCTTGGTATGATTGAAGCCATATTTCGCAATTAAGGGGCTTTGGGCTCTCTGGGCACCCTGCGGCTACAAGTATACCAGCAAGAGGGTTTAGGGTTTAGGGTTTAGGGTTTAGCGTTTAGGAGGCTAAAGTCCATAATGTCTCCTTTGGGCTGTTTGAAGCCTTGTAGACCGATGAGAATTCCAGCTTATGAACACATGCGAAGGTGATGAGTTCTCTAAATTAGGGTCCTTCTTTTTGGCTATCCTGAATCTAAATATTCGGGGCCGCCTTAGAATAAGGACCACCACCCTGAACCCTCCCTAAACTCTAAACCCTAAACCCTAATCTACAGAACTACCGGGAACTAATCTGTTCTCACCAAGGCTGCTTGTGTCAAGGTGGACGCAGAGCGGTCGGTGAGCTCCTCGCTGGTCCAGGTTCCTTCGCGTTACCATACCCCCTTAGGGTTTAGGGTTTAGGGTTTAGGGTTCCTTAATCAAGGCAGTTGCGCTGAAAAAATGTGAGAGGGTTTAGGCTCTAGGGTTTAGGGTTTAGGAATATTGCTGAAAATAGAACAGGAATTCCTTATATGGTTTAAGGAACATTCTTTCATTAAGAGGCAGTGGAGTTTCTGGGTAGCCAGGTATGCAGCTTCCACAGGAGATGCTTTCACACGTGAGCCACGTGTATGGCATTGACATTCAATGCTCAGCTAGTCGGTTGGCCTATTTTGGAGCAATGTGTGCGGAGTGCCGTAAATCATACGACGGGTCCCTGTATTGCCTTCATATTCCTTAACTAAAGCGGTTGTGGGATCTCAGGGTCAGGAGCTTTGCCCGTAGCATCGCTTTGTACTCATGCTGTGCGCATTCTTGCGACTCTGAAGAAGTGCGACATGTTCAGCGCGCAACTCTGCTCCTTGTAGCTGGCTTGTGTCTTTCCGAAAAATACCCAGAGACTCCAATACCCCTCAAATAAGGAAGATTCCTTAAATCAAGTAAGAGACCCTCTAAGACTTCAAGGAATATTCCTGAAATTCAGGGGTATGGGAATCCCTGCGTACGCGTCGTCCGAAACCCTAAACCCCAAACCCTCAACCCTCAACTCTAAACCCTAAACCCTACACCCTGATGTGTTGCGCAGGCGCCGATCGGTCTCAAGGAGGATGAGCTCACGGCATACCTCACAGAGCTGGAAGTCGATGTGGGAGCCTGAGATGGGTGCTCCAGTATTTGCTTAAGAACCACCCGAACACATGTATGTATGTATATGTATATATATGTATATATTCTTCCTTGTATGGGTAATATAGTTCTTTTTTTTTTGGGGGGGGGGGTCTTAAGCAAATAGCAGTAAACCTCTTGCCAAAACCCTGAAGCCCAATTCCTTGCGGTGTGGAGCATGCGCATCTTTAAGGTGAGCAACTATGGGCGTGGGGGCGCAAAGACGTGCCTTGGCGTCAAGCTTATAAAAAAGGTTGCGTGATGTGAAACCCTAACCCTAAACCCAAAATACACCCTAAACCCTATATGAACCCTAAACCTGTCTTTTTTTCAAGATGTGCCACACCGGTCGCCTTTGCACGACCTAAACCCTAGACTCCTTCCTGCCGGCGCACAGGCTGAAAGCATTTTCCGACGAGCTCATCAAGGGTGAGGTCCAAGTTGGCAGGGACAAGCGGCTCGGACTTCTATACTGCAGGGAAGAAGTTCCTAGATAAATATACACTAATACGCCACCATGTTAGCGGGCAGAGTGCAGGGACCCACATACATACCACGACACTGCTATCTGCTTAAAAGCCCGCAAAAAGTGATATCTGACAGTCCCAAAAAGTACCGCTATAAGGAAGAATAATTATTTAGTGTTTTTTTCTTCGTGGGGGGCTCTTAAGCAAGTGGTAGTAGAGTGGTATAGTGGTCGTTTAGGGTTTAGGGTTTAAGGGTTTAGGGTAACCCCCACCACCACCCTCTTCAAATGCCACCGCGCGCGTGTCCCAGCTCTGCAGCTGGGTTTACTTAGGGCCCTTGATGTAGTTCTTTTAGTATTATGTTTTTTATATTTTTCTCGGGTGGAGGCGGGGGGGTTGTGTGTAGGGCCTCATACATATATATATATGTATACAAAACACACATAGATACAGAAACAAAAAAATAAACAGACAGACCCCCCCCCCCCCCTTTCTGGCAGCCACAGGGCTGCGGGCCAAAAATCCTCCTCCTGCCAGTGTTTCAGTCCTCCAACCCCCACAAGCAGGGCTCCACTTGTTAAAGGTCCGCGTTGGTTCCCCCTGATACTAACAGTGCTTAATAGGGATTATAATCGGGGGCACTGTAGTCCCTATTAAGGACTGTTAGTATAAGGGGGAACATCCCAGGGTCCAGGCATCGTGCGAACAGCAATACTATTTCTATCTTGTCTGGTGTGGCAGAACCCCCAAAAAAGCAAAAGGCCACGATTGGCCTCCCTGAGCCTCCGGCATTGCAAACTGATCGTACGAACCAACACGATAGGAGATCAGGATGAGTCAGGATGACACCTTCTCGAGTCATGTGGGGTGGCGAAACCCGCCAGAGGAGCTGAGGATTCGATGGGAAAGTCTGAAGGCTTAGCACAGCATCCAGGAGACTGCCAGGAGAAGTGTTCCCCCTAAACTCTTTTCCCTAATCTTTGCTAGGGACCGGGGAGGACGGTGCAGAGCTTGAAACTTCAGAGCATCGTGTTGTCTTGTCGGATCCCTGCTGAGTGATTCGTCCAGCTATGCGGGTGCCAAAAAAACATCCCTAAACCCCAAACCCTAAACCCCAAACCCTAAACCCCAAACCCTAAACCCTAAACCCTAAACCCCAAACCCTCCCTAAACCCTACTCCGAAAGGCTGATTTAGGCCTAGGGATGCTTCGGGTAGCCAACCAAAAAGGGTGGAAAAATCTCTCAAAGCTGGGTCTGCAACCCTGAACCTTGGGATGTTCCCCTGGTTTAGGGTTTAGGGTTTAGGGTTTAGGGTTTAGGGTTTAGGGTTTAGGGTTTAGGGTTTAGGGTTTAGGGTTTAGGGTGAGGGTTTAGGGTGTAGGGTTTAGGGTTTAGGGTTTAGGGTTTAGGGTTATTGGGATGTTCCCCCTTCTACTAACAGTCCTTACTAGGGATTGTAATAGACTACAATCCCTATTAAGGGCTGTTAGTATAAGGGGGAACATCCCAACCTGAACCCTCAACTCGGTACTTAGCCAACAGTTGAACTTTAAACTTTTGGAGCTTCCGTATTTAGTAGGAAATGAATAGTAAAGTTTAGGGTTTAGGGTTTAGGGTTTTTTTACCTTTGGTTATTGGCTAAGTAAGGGTAGGCCCTTGGGACATGTCACTTTTTCCCTCATTGGTTTCAAGAGGACCCCGTTTAGGAGCATTGTTGGGGAGGGTTTCCAGGGCCATCCTAGTAAACCTTCTGCTCAACGAAGATGCGGTGCATCAGTGCGCCCGCGGTGATGTTTGTCAGCACGATGATGTAAATCTAGTGGCTGCAGCTTATAACTCCACGGTCTAGATGCTATTTGCTGGTAGCTCCCTTTTGTCTATAATCTTGACTTAGTTGTAGAGTAGCTAACCTTTAACCTTCTTGGGGTACGATAATCCCCTTCTAATCCCAAAGGTTTAACCTTTTGTTCCCCCAGGTTACTGGACAAATAGGTCCCTTTTGTCTATAATCTTAAAGACCCTAAACTTAAAGACCCTAAACCCTAAACCCTAAACCCTAAACCCTATAAACCCTAAACTTCGCTGGTTTAAACTGATGAAAGCGTGCATCTGCGCCGGCGCATCTGAGGAACGGAGTCCCTGTGGTCGTCTCAGAGTGTCTTCGTCCGCAGCAGGAGATACCCTATAAACCCGGTTTAGGGTTTGGGGTTTGGTGTTTAGGGTTTAGGGTTTAGGGTCCGACGGTCTCAAGCTAGACCGCGTTGTGCCCGCACGTGGAGGTTCATGGGGAGTCATAAGCCCCGTAGGGTTTGAAGGGTGTTAAGTGAGGGAACCTATCTAATCCCTACTTCTGAATACCCATGAACCTCCAAGTATCCTTTCTTGATGTCCTTCGATCGTGAAAGTCAACTGGGAAGTGGTCATCATCATTTTCGCTTGGATCGTTTTTGGGTTAAGGGTAAAGCGTTCAGGGGGTTTAGGGTTTAGGGTTTAGGGTGTTCAGGGACAAAGGGGCATCAGCCAAATCGCCTCTCATCCCAGGGTGGTGAACCTCTGCATACACGATCAAGGGCGTGGCGAGACGCTTTGCCAGTACAAGGAGGCCTGTGGTGCTTTGGGGGTTTAGGGTTTGAGGGTTTTTAGGGTTTAGGGTTGAGGGTTTTTAGGGTTTTTAGGATTTAGGGGTTATAGGGTTTAGGGTTTAGGGTTTCTAGGGTTTAGGGTTTATAGGGTTTAGGGTTTCTAGGGTTTAGGGTTTCTAGGGTTTAGGGTTTAGGGTTTAGGGCAAGTTTGCAGAGATGCGGCCTTTCAAGCCTGTTCGCAAAGGAATAGACTTTCAACTGTACAAAGACCCTGAGTCTGATGAAAGGTATAATCCTCGATGAACGGGTTTGGGGCCCTAAACCCTAAACCCTAAACCCTAAACCCTAAACCCTAAACCCTAAACCCTAAACCCTAAACCCTAAACCCTAAACCCTACTTCTCAAGTGAGGGGCATTCGCGCCCCTTTGGGATTCATTGACACTACAACATGGGCCCCAGGAACTGAGTGTGTAGAGTCTCAGCGAGCTGAGATGACATGATTTCTTAAAGATTCTCAGCATTTCCCAGAGAGTGAATTACTATCTGGTTAAGACTCCCCCACAAAACTATTCATAAGACTCATAAATGAGAAGAAGAAAAAATAGCATTAATAATAATCACAGAATCAATAACAGCAAGACATGCATACATACATAGTTACATACATAGACATATATATATATATAGATACATGTATATGTATTCTTCCTTGTAAGGGTAATATGGGGAGTATTGTCTTCCATTTTTTTCGTGATTCTTAAGCAAACGGTAGTTACTGAACCCGAAATAAGCCTCACATGACTCATGTTTTTTGGGGGGTTGGGGTTGGGGGGGGGGGTAGCTATGAAAATTCTGTGAGAATCGAGAACGGCTGCATGCCAATAGAAAACTCCACTGTGGGATCTAAGGCAACATTAGGGCGCCCTATATTTTCATAGCTCTTTGCTCAAGAGCCACTGAAATATCGAAGCTACCTTCCCCATGGCCCGATTATTAGGGCAATGTAGGGATGATTCTTCTGCATTTATTAGGGGTTTTAAGCAAAACCGTCGTCTATTGGCAGGCAGGTCAGTGCCCCAAACGATTGAAGCTAAACCCTAAACCCTAAACCCTAAACCCCTAACCCCTAAACCCTAAACCCTAAACCCTAAATCCTAAACCCTAAACCCTAAACCCTACCACTGCCCTCGTCGCAGCTCGGCCCTGGCGATTGCACTTACGAGCACCTTTCGCTGCCATGCACGGCACGGCGGCCGGACGTCCCTCTGCTTGAACGATGAGGGTTCAGGGTTTAGGGTTTAGGGTTTAGGGTTTAGGGTTTAGGGTTTAGGGTGCGCATGAGGGTCTTGCTTGGCACTAGGGCTTGCTGTAGCTGCAGGCTGGGTTTTTTCAGGAAGTTACATGGTATTACAAGGGGTATATAAGGGTCTCCCAGTTTAGGGACCATGAAGCTACCCCAAGATAGCTATGGCTAGACAGCTTTAGACACAGCTTTAAACCCTAAACCCTAAACAGGCAGGCAGAGACTCTGTGGTCGAGTGCGTTCAACGAATTAACTGCCCGCAGAGGCCCATACCGTTAGTTAAGGAATGCCGCGCATTTCAGAACAAGGTTTAGGGTTTACGGTTTAGAGTTTAGGGTTTGGGGTTTTGGGTTTAGGGTTTAGGGAGGATCCCTGTATGGTTAAAGGTATCTTCCTCAACTATGGGGTATTGGGCCATTGTTTCTCTCCCGTTTCGTGCACTTGAGGCTAAGGTGAACCCAAAGAGTCCGAGGTTCCTTTGATGAAAGCAGCCGTTTAGGGTTAGGGTTTAGGCTTTAGGCTTTAGGCTTCGGGCTGTAAGCGGTTTAAATTTAAAACGGGAACCACCCGAAGTCTCAGCGACTGGTCATTCCTTCGCATGGCTGCCACTGAAGAACTTAAGCTTGGTTTCTACAAGATGGAAACTTGCAGATCTTCACGGGTTTCTCCACTACCCCCCTCTATCCTACCCCCCTATGGGCCCCCGTTAAAGTATGGGGGGGGGGGGGGGGGGGGGTAGTAGGGGAAGCCTTCCACTACCCATAGTGTGGTAAGCAGCAGTTCATTAACCATGATTGCTCCTCGGATGTAAGCTGAGCTACATGTTGGCCCTGGGACGAAGCAAGAACACACACACACACACATGTATGTGTATATAATATACATAAGATCAGTGTTAGGGATCCTTTTTACTTTTTGGGTTATGGGCTTTCTTATATATGAACAAAAAAAGGATCCCGTTTTTCTTCCTAGGGAACAAGTATTAAGTTAAACTTATACACGACTCGCGAGCACAGTTGAGTTCGACCTGGCCCCCTCCCGCCTCAAACACGGACATGTGCCCTCAGGAAAATGAGTTTGTCGTTGCGAGGCGCATCTTAAAGATTCCTGGCCCGCATTTCAGAGGCAAAAAGCGACTCTTAAACCCTAAACCCTGTGGTGGTTTTGTTTTTTGGGTACCTATTTCTTGGTTTGTATAGCAAAAAGACTACTTGAAGGTTCATGGGACTTAATAACCACTTATAGCTGTACTTGTAACCCTACTTATAATTGGGATAACCCCTATAAGGCCCTTTAGGGGTATTGTAAGTAGGGTTATAAGTACAGTTATAATTGATTAGTAAGTCCCATGAACCTTCAAGTACAATTTAGGGGTCCTGGCATCTGAAGAATCAAAAGCCTGCGTCTCAGTAGGTAGGCCCTCGAGATATTTTATATTATCCAGTAAAAGAGGATCATGTTCTCTGGATATGTTCAGGTTTTTTGGGGGCCAACGTTGAATCTCACAAGGCTGTCTTATGGAGCTTAGGATGCTTTGTTTAGGGCGTACGGCTTGAAACCCTGAGCCCAAGACGAAACATCACATTGCGAGCGCCCAGGGGGTCCGCTAATTGATGTTGCCCCACTTGCCCCACTTGCCCCACTTGCCTTTCCAGAAGAGCTAATTGATGTTGCCCCACTTGCCCCACTTGCCCCACTTGGTGGCCCGGAAAAGCTAATTGATGTTGCCCCACTTGCCCCACTTGCCCCACTTGCCCCACTTGCCTCAGGAGTAATCCCTGCTGCCTGGGTAACTGGGGCAAGTGGGGCAAGTGGGGCAAGTGGGGCAAGTGGGGCAAGCGCCCCCCCCCCCCCTCGCCTCGCCGCGCCACAAGTCTGCCTCAAATCAGGCTGCGTTTGAGGCAGACTTATGGTTGTAGGGCAGGCCCTAGCCAAGTAGAACCTTGAGTGCTGTTGGACCCTAAAATGACCCTAAAATGACCAACCTAGCCACACGTCTGCCTCAAATCGGGCTGCATTCAAGGCAGACCTGTGGCTGGGGCTGGTTGGGGGCAGACCCTAGCCAAGTAGAACCTCGAGTGCTATTGGACTCGGACAGACCCTAAAGTAACCAACCAGCCACAAGTCTGCCTCAAATCTCGCTGCAATTGAGGCAGACTTGTGGCTGGGAGAGTGGGCAAGTGGGGCAAGTGGGGCAAGTGGGGCAAGTGGGGCAAGTGGGGCAAGTGGGGCAAGCGGGGCAAGTGGCAGAAATCACTTAGCGGTTAAGGCAGGGCAAGTGGGGCAAGTGGGGCAAGTGGGGCAAAGTGGTTTTCGGTAAGGGAGCACAGCAAGTGGGGCAAGCGGGGCAAGTGGCAGAAATCACTTAGCGGTCCCCGTTTGCACGCGCACTGATCACATCAGCCTTAACCCGTTCAACTCTGAGACGTCGCCGCTCGATGCCGGAAGTAATGTGCGGTTCATGCTGAGGCCCTGTCCCTAAACCCTAAACCCTAAACCCTAAACCCTAAACCCTAAACCCTAAACCCTAAACCCTAAACCCTAAACCCTAAACCCTAAACCCTAAACCCTAAACCCTAAACCCTAAACCGCAACGAACAGCTGCACCATGTTGCTAAGATTTGAGCTTGCTTTTCAGGAGACGCCTTCGCATCAACCCCAACACCGTGATCCTGGATACGAAGGTGGGTTTAGGGTTTAGGGTTTAGGGTTTAGGGTTTAGGGTTTAGGGGTATGGGACGACATGCTACTACTTGCTTAAGAACCCTCTCCTCCCCCCCCAAAAAAATGCAAGATGTTCTTCCTTCTAAGGGCATACAGGTATTTTTTTTCGGGGGGGGGGGGGGGGGTTCTTGAGCAAATAGTAGATCAAGGTCCTCGTCTTGTTAAAACTAACCGGACTCTAGTTAGTGCTGAGGACTTGGTTGGGGCTCGGGCTGGCGGCCACAAGTTGATGGGCAGCAGGGCCCGTTTCAGAGCAGATGCGTGCTGCCTACATTCCCAAAGAGCCGAAACCCCCTCAATTAAGGAATCTATAGTTTGTACCATTAAATCATACGAAGGGTCACTATGTACAGTTTGAGGTCTGTTCATGAATTAAAGGGTTTAACGGGCTCTCCGGGTCATTGCTGCCTCTAAGCCTACATCCCTGACAGGCACTCACACCCTTGTGAACAACGCTTTTGTGTTTCAAAACCTCCTTAAGAACCCTATCATACTGTGCAGGTCAGACGAGTCCAGGAGGAACGGTCCACAACCGCTTACCCGGGACTGATCTTCGCCAGGGCCACGGTCACGGAGTTTTCGATCAAGGTCTCGGGCGGCAGGATGGGCGCATCAAGCACACCTCCTTCAGTTTTCGGAGCCGCTGTTTAGGGTTTAGGGTTTAGGGCCACATAGTCCCACCATCTCCCGATTTCGCCACGAATTTGGGCTCCGAAGCCCTAGACTCTGAACCCAAACCCGTCACCCACCGAGTGCTGCCAAGGTCGATCGCGAACTCGCGACTTGGTAGCCCAGTGGTACCCTTTTACCCTTTTTTTTGGTGGTATATGGGTTCCCTTGTCAAAGTAACCACCCCCCAAACAGGGGGTGCCCTGATTATAAGATGGTTACTGTATGGGTTCCCTTATAAAGTAACCCCCCCCCCTAAAACAAAAAAAACAAGAAAAAGATGCCCTTATTAAACCCTAAGCCCTAAACCCTAAACCCTAAACCCTAACCCTAAACCCCCTAAACCATGAGAACTATCTGGACTCGCATGAGCGCTTATATTTTGGTGTCTTTTGGTGTTGCTGACTCTGAACCCTGAGAGATCGCCCTGAACACTTTTCATTTTCATCTTGCGAGACTTGATGAGTTGCGACTGGGTTGAGGGGACTGTCCTTGTTATTGACTGAGCTTGGACTTTAACCTTTGGTGGGGTTTGGGTGTGGACTCAACCACTCAACCCAACAAAGAGGCAACTCCAACAACACCCCATACACTTATATCGCCAGTTCCCTGCAGAGTGTCCGAGAGGTCAGCTAAGCGGGTGGCAAAAAAACCTGGTTACTGGGCTACCAAGGTAATCACGGCCAGCTTGGACCCACGTGTCCCGCAGAGCCGTCTGTCAAAGGCTAAGTTCCTCAGCACGAGCTGAGAGATCCGCGTTTTGGGTAGGGTTTAGGGTTTAGGGTTTAGGGTCTAGGGTCTAGGGTCTAGGGTTTAGGGTTTAGGGTTTGAGGGGCCGCCCCTAGTCAGAAGTAGACTGGCAAGTTCCCTATACCTTGCACATTATGTATTGCACATTATGTCTCAGAAGTACTCAGCTTGGGTTCTATGCCCATTTATTATGATTGGCATAGTAAGGGACCCCGCTGCTGCCCTGTAGAGCAGTTTCCATGCCCTGTCGCGGCTGCGGCCTTTGCTACAGTCGAGAATAGAGAGAATAGCTGGCAGATGCGAAACGGTCCTCCGCCCTAGTAGTAGAGTAGGTAGCCTTTAACCTTTTTGGGGTAGTATAATCCCCTTATATTCCCAAAGGATAAATTTCGTTCTGAGCGAATGTGGAAGACCCTGACGCCAGAAGGGGGAACTGCATGCTGCGAATGTGCGTGCCTGGCACCAGGATGGGCTGCTCGACCTTACAACACCCATACTCAATCACCCTAAACCCTAAACCCTAAACCCTAAACCCTAAACCCTAAACCCTAAACCCTAAACCCTAAACCCTAAACCCTAAACCCTAAACCCTAAACCCTAAACCCTAAACCCTACACAGGGCCTTCTTAGCGGTTCTAGGGTATAACCCATCCTGGCAGTGCTTTCGGATCGCACGGTTCAGCTCCCCTCACATCAGCGCGAGCCTTGAGCCTAATCTACTATTTCTAGGACTCGGAGAAGGCCCTTATTCCCCTTGTTTTGGGGGGTTTAGGGTTTAGGGTTTAGGGCAACTAGGACCCAGAGCAGGCCCTCAATCCCCTTTCCGAAAAGGGTACCCTGTGTATTCCTGGGTTATTTCTGGGTCTAGAGTCCAGATTTGCTGAAGAACCACCCCAAAAAGATGTTTTTCCTTATGAGGGCAACATAGGCTCATTTTTTTGAGGGATTCTTACACAAACAATAGAAATAGAGCCCTAAACCCTACAACCCTACTTGGAGGTTCATGGGTATACCCATGGCTATGGGGCAAGTAGGGTTTCAGGTATCGTTGCCATACTTACAACCCTACGTCTATTCTACCCATGGACCTCCAAGTAGAAGCCCGAGCTCCCTACACCCTAAGCCCGAAACCCTAAACCCTAAACCCTAAAACCCTAAACCCTAAAACCTAAACCCTAAACCCTCTCTAGGAGAGACAGTCCTGGTCGACGTCGAGGTAGTCGTATTTGTTGTGGGTGCCCAGAGAGACCAAGCGCCCTGGTTTAGGGTTTATAGGGTTTAGGGGACTCCAACGTCTCTTCCAGGACCTAGGGGTATGATTTTGGACGTTCCCTTGTTGGGCCAAAGAGGATCATAGTTAGGGATATGCTTCAGTCTGTTTACAGGGCCAGCCGTCTGAGTTAAGGACTATATACTCAGCAACTGACAGCAAGATGCCCTTGACAGTTTAGAGGCTATTCCCTAATCAAGGGATACTGGAGTCTCTGGGTAAGGAATACACGCCTTTGCTTATTTCCCACTGCAGTCCTCAAGTAAAGGGTATAGGGCTTTCTGGGTCCCTAAACCCTAAACCCTAAACCCTAAACCCCAATCCCTAAACCCTAAACCCTTCTTTCCGGGTATAGTCATGTCCCAGTCGAAGTCGTAGTCGTGCTCGTAGGTGCGCGATGGGCCTTTTTAAAGCCTACTTGAAGGTTCATGGTACTTACTTACCACTTATAACTGTACTTATAACGCTACTTATAATACCCCTAAAGGGCCTTTAAGGGGTTATCCCTATTATAAGTAGGGTTATAAGCCCAGTTATAAGTGGTTGTTAAGTCCCATGAACCTCCAAGTAGGCAGGTACATGACCTGCACCGCGAAACCGGCAGCTCGGTCCACTCACATGGGGTTAGGTTGTAGCAAAAAGGGTTCGGGGTTCAGGTTTCAGGGTTTAGTGTGAAGTCTCTTGGAAAGGGTGTAGGTTTAGGGCTTAGGGCTTAGGGCTTAGGGTTTAGGGTTTAGGGTTTAGGGTTTAGGGTTTAGGGTTTAGGGTTTAGGGTGGTTGAGGGTTTGGGCTTTCGGCGCTTAGTGGTGTTGCATAGGCGCATTTCGCCCTCTCCGAGAGACCAAGACCCCTTAATTCAGGAAGATTCCTTAATTGATAATTGGGTTCCTTATGTGGTTTTTTAATGGTATATTCCTTGATTAAGGGAATATTCCTTAATTCAGAGTTGGGTTCCTTCTGTGGTTTTTATATGGAACATTCGTGAAGATTCCTTATTCCTTCATTAGGGGGTATTGGAGTCTCTGGGCTATTCGTTTGAGCGATGTGGAGGTTGTCCTAAACAGGACACCCGCAATCTTCGCACGCACAAAAAAAGGGAGTCGGCCTCGGTCGCAGATGGGCGAAGCAAACACACCCTGAGTAAGCAGGCGGGGGGGGGGGTTTAGGGTTTAGGGTTTAGGGCTTCAGGGTATAGCTAGCAGGTATCGTCACCCCCAGGCAGCGACGGCACAGAAACAATGATTCATATGGCAAGCTACACAAAGTCAGCATGCGCGTACGCATGGAAACTGGTCCCTAAACCTGGTTCTTACCAAGATGGGCTATTGCAACCTATGACCCCAAAACCCTAAACCCTAAACCCTAAACCCCAACCCAACGCCTTAAGAAGGCCCTGTATGGGGCTGATTATGGGGATTCTAAGGCTTGAAAGGCCATCCGGGCTTGCGGCGCCGCTGCAATATTGAATGGCCAGCTCACAAAGATTCCCCAACATGCTACACCCTAAGACCTAAACCGCAAACCCTAAGAGGGTTCAGCCCTAAACTAGGGCTGAGGGCTAGGGTGTAGGATTACTGAGCAAGTAAGAAGGATCGGGAAGATACCTTAAGAACCACATAGGGGCCCTTGTAAAACTTCAGGTATATTCTTTCTTTGAGACCAAGCCCCATAGCCAAAGCGAAAGTGGTGCAACGTATGGGTTTAGGGTTTCGGGCCAGCCGTGTGCGAAAAGGTTCTGGGTTTAGCCGGCCACTCACTGCTCTAAAAACACAGGGTTCTTAAGGGAGGGGGGTTCATGGGGAGTAGGCCCCTAGAGAACTCTAGGGAAGCAAAGGGAGCCTTAGGGTTAGGGAACCTTGGGTTTTAAGAACTCTATAATACTCTTGCCAGCCCGATGGTGCTTTTTCCCCTCCTTTTTCGGTTCAACGAGAAAGGGCTACCTAGTATTGTGTCGTGGAGACCCAAAAGGGCCCATCATTGGATCAACCCCCTCCCCCCTAGTGTACCAGAGACTCTAGTACCAGGTATATGAAGGCAAAAGAAAGTATAAGCTTTCCTAAACCCCAGAAGTCGCTAGACGGGTGGTAAACACAACCGTAAACCCTACGGGGTCAATAAGGATCTAAGCCCTAAACCCTAAACCCCAAACACTAAACCTAACCCTAAACCCTAAACCCAACGATTTTTTTTTGGGGGGGGTATTCCCTCAGGTGTTAGGGGCTGTCGGGATCAGGGGGTGGCGAGCCATGGTTGAAGACGGCGGTGCAAACACTGCGCTGTTCGGGACCTCAGCCCTTCATGTGTTGTGTGCCCTCTAGGGTTGAGGGTTTAGGGTTTAGGGTTTAGGGTTTAGACCGACTACCTAGACTCCAAGTAGAGTCGATTGGGCTGGCTGGGCCCATCAACCTCAATGTCATGGACTCAATGGGGTTTCTTCAGAGTTTAGGTCTTCGGGCCCAGTAGCCTGGATAGAGGATTTCGTCCCCGCAAATCATTAGAGTAAAAACATCAGGCAAAGTTGTCTGGCTGATTGCCTCCCCCAGTCCAGATGCAGCAAAGAAAGGGTTTATGGAGCAGGACGCCCAGCCACTGGTATGTTCATATATTGGATGCTGATCACGCGCTGACGCGGTTCAAGTAGGGAGGATTCAGACCGAGGACCCTCTATGGCAAAGGCTCCCTCGCTTGGGGGTTCCTGGGTGATTAAAAGTAGGGTTGCAAGTCTACTTACTGATTAAACAGGGTTATAAGTATACTTATTTACCATACTTCCAACCCTACTTATCACTACCCCATGAAACTCCAAGCGGAGATGCTTGCTTTGAGCAATGTACGTTGCCAACTTGAACACAAGTCTGCTCGACAGCTCTCGCTGAATGCGAGGTGATGACAGTGTGGGCTGCTAGTTCGTAGTAGGGATTAGGTGCCATATACCCCCTAAAGCCTATGTAACCCTTTGCGGGATCGTTTAGAGACCCCAATTCTCACGGTCCCAACTGAGCAACAGTAGGCTGAGGCTCTCATCACTTTGAGGCTCAAGTGTTCCAGCGCAGAAGGTGTGGATAGGTTTTTAAAAAACCCATGGGCCGCTTTTCTTCAGCGTTCGTGAGCGTTGCTTGCGTACAGATGCTGGAAATACAGGCAGCCATATGCGACAACTGGAATGAAACACAGTGTTCCGACATGAACGACGGCGGTTGCAGTTGCTATTGGAACACCACATCTTGTTCAAAGAACACCTCCGACTGCAGTGGCGTTGGCATCACGTCCGTGGGTAGCAATTGCACGCTGACAGGGGGTGAAGAAGTGAGTGAGGGGTGGGCTGGCCAAGACACAGGCTACAATTGCTGCAATAGTTGCAGCTGCTTGTCGGTGGGGCTGGCTTGCACCAAAATGTTTTGCGTGGATTTCTGCAATCGTACACTGGATGTTACTAATGATACAATGGACAGCCACGCCCGATTCTTGGCTAAGGGGTTTGCACTGCCCATGTCTCTGCTCTTCACGCAGGGTCTGTTGTAGCGCAGTGGCGGAGTGCCACCATGCGAGTAGTGACAGCACCTGCGCCTTCTGTGCTGTTTAAGACACACACACACACAACTTCGGATCCCAGACAACTCCAATACTCCATAACTAAAGAGCATTCCTTATTTCATAGAAGGAACCCGATCAATTATATGTCTGAGGAATATTCCTTAATTTAGGTTGTTGGACAGCGCACAACGACCACCCAGCCTGCTACCCGTGGACTCTGACTGGCCAAAAGCGACCGAAACAAAAATCGGCTTTAGGGTTTGGAGCTCAGGGTTCAGGGTTTAGGGTGAGCTGCTGGTACCAGGATGGGCTATTGGGCCTCAGAATCCTCATCATCAACCTGATACAGGGCCTTTTTGAGGGGTTATAGAGTATAGTAGCCAGTCCTCGTAGCCTTGTTCTGGAGCTTGAGAACCTAACCTACCCTACATGGGCAGTTATAAGTAGGGTTATACAAGTACACGAAGTAGGGATCGAAGTATCGTTACCTTGCCTCTAACCCTACTTGTCACTACCCAAATGAACCTCCACGTAGCCCTAAACCCTAAACCCTTAAACCCCAAACCCTAAACCCCAAACTCTAAACCTTAAACCCTAAACCCTAAACCCTATACCCTAGACCCTAGACCCTAGACCCCAGACCCCAGACCCCTAGTCCAGTCCGAGGCTCAGTTCGCTCAACGCCGCCCTGCGTGCACTGCCGGAGCCACCGCCTCCTGCTGCAGAGCGCATAGCCTTGGAGGCTGAAGCCAGGGGTTTAGGGTTTAAGGTTTAGGGTTTAGGGTCAGGACTAGGGTTCAGGGTTTGGGGATTCGGGTTTACAGGGTTTACTTCACGCGAATGAGTGATTTAGCGAGAAGGGTTACCAGTATTTTTGTTTTGTGGTCGGTTCCTATAAGGCGTATTGGGCTCCCACGGGCCAACTGCTAGCAAGGGATCGCTGACGCGCAGCATTCTACCAGGATGGGCTACTAGGCCTTATCCCCATAATCAACCCTATACAGGGCTGTTTCAAGGGGTCAAAAGGGCAGAGTAGCCCATCCGGGTACCTGCTTGAGGGAACTCCTTTCTCCCAGAGTACGAAGTATGATGCACAGAATGCATGAATCCTGCTGGTGCTTGCATCACTAGGTAGGCCCTTGGGGTATTTTTCCCTTATTGGGTTTAAGAGGATTATATTTAGGAACATTTTTAGGGGGGGCGAAAGCCCGAGACCCTAGACCTTAACCCTAAACCCTAGACCTTTAAACCCCCTCAACCCTAAAGGTGGCTGGAGAGTGCTTTGTGCTCAGCCGCGGGGCAGCGGGCTGCCAAGTTGTGCGCCCACTGGCAGAATCTGGCGCACGAAGACACTCTTGGATGGCGTTTGCTTGTTTGCTAGCTGGTTGTGTTAGAGGTCTAGGGGTCTAGGGGTCTAGGGGTCTAGGGGTCTAGGGGTCTAGGGGTCTAGGGGTCTAGGGGTTTAGGGGTTTAGGGGTTTAGGGGTTTAGGGGTTAGGGTTTAGGGTTTGGCTGAAGTTGCGCAGCTAAATGCAGGCGGAGTTTTTGAACCCCCATCGCTCGCCTGGCCAGAGTCGTGCGAGCCGAAGACAAACCCAGAGAGCACCATACCCCGTGAGGAAAGACCTTCGTTACTTAGTAGCTGAGTGAGCACACTTTACGCTTTTTAGGAAAATATAATCCCCTATAGAACTGAAAGTGTACACTTTTGGGGGCTTATGAACTCAGCAACTAAGGGTAGACTTTTCTCACGGATCCGAAGACATGAGTTAAGGTATAACACCATATGCCCTAAACCCTAAACCCTAAACCCTAAACCCTAAACCCTAAACCCTAAACCCAAAACCCAAGTAAGGGGCATTTGCACGGGGCTTTCCGGCATCCCTAAGTCCTACTCTTAAACCCCACCCCCCCCCCCCCCCCCCAAATCCTACGGTTTGGGATGTTCCCGCTTATACGGGCAGTCCTTAATAGGGATTATTCATACCCCCTGTTAGAATGCCTATGGGACTGTTAGTACAAGGGGGAACATCCCAACCTACTTGGAGGTTCATGGTAGTTCTTAGCCAATGAGAACTGTACTTATAAGTGTCCTTACCACCATATTAGGGCACTCAAGGGGCTTGGAAGTGGGTTATAAGTACAGTTAAAATTGGTTTAAACCCTAAACCCTAAACCCTAAACCCTAGACCCTAGACCCTAGACCCTAGACCCTAGACCCTAGACCCTAGACCCTAGCCCTAGACCCTGACCCTAGACCCCAAACCGGGTACAAGCCAGTCTTCCAACCCCAAGGGCAGCCAGCCGGACCTCAACGGGAGTGCGTCATTGCGGTGCGCTCCGCGGCAGCCCTCCGGCCACATTGGGTTAGGTTTTTGGGTTAGGGGGGGTTTGGTAAGGGGTTTAAGGAGGGGTTTAGTAGGGTTTAAGGGGGGTTTAGTAGGGGGTTTAGGGGGTTTAGGGGTTTAGGGGGTTTAGTGGGTTTCGGGGTTTGGGGGGTTTAGTGGGTCTAATGTTAAGAGGCTTGGATTCGGGATGATTTCGGGTTTCAGAGCTTAGGCAGGAGTTTAGGAAGCGAGTCCCGCCAAAGGTTTAGGCCGTGTCGCCAGAAAAGACCCGCAGTCTAAGGCGGCTTAAGAACGTCGTACAGGACACAGCTGTGATGAAAAGATGCGCAGCATCCGCTCCGAACGTTGCTCCAGGATCTCTGGGCGATTGCCCGCGGCAGTTCCAGCCCACAGGCAGCTTTCGCGCAAGGAAAGATCTCAGTACGAGGCTGGGGTTGCGAAAAGTGTTTTTTTTTAACCTTTTTGTTTTAAAATAATTCTGGGCTTTATAGAATATACACCCTAAACCCTAAACCCTAAACCCTAAACCACCAATAACTTTTCACAACTCTAGGGAAGCTGGGGTTTTGGGGGTTTAGGAAACAGGGCTTCGGCTTTAGGGTTTGCAGGTTAGAGGGTTAGATCCTCCCTCCCGCCCAGCCAGGTGCCCTCTGGCCTCGTAGGGTTTAGGGTTTAGGGCTTAGGGCTTAGGGCTTAGGGTTTAGGGTTTAGGGTTTAGGGTTTAGGGTTTAGAGTACGATACATGACATCTGAGGGTTGATCCCTCCCCCTAAAACGAGACGGCACTTGGTAGGCTTTACAGTAGGGTTTTGGTTGTTTTCCGGCTTCGGCTGTTTGGTTGGTTCATGATTGGGCCGGGGTTCCAGGACATCTGGGCAAATGCTTTCGTTTTAAAAGTAGGGCGTGGATTCCTTATATGGTTAAGGAGGATTGGAGTCTGTGGGTTGTGCGATCCCTGGGTCTACGGGCTTTGGGCTCACGCCGACCCAGAGACTCCAATGTCCCGAACTTTTACCAGGAAAAATCCTGGATCCTATTAGAGTCCTTAGTATGACTTTGAGGAAGATGCCCGTAATCAAGCGACAATGGGAACGACCAACCCTAAACCCTACACCCTATACCCTAAACCCTCAACCCTAAACCCTGACCTTTCGTTGCTTTCAGAGGCGGCTTCTCTGCTCTACTGGAACTGCGCCCTTTCATCGCAGAGCTGCGAGGAAAGCTCCCAGCAGCTGTGGTGAACATCATTGTTTGGGTTTAGGGTTATGGTTTAGGGTTTAGGGCCCTTGGGACATTTTTGTATTTTCCCTTATCCTACTGGTTCCTGGTAGGGGCTGAGGGAATTCGATTCTTTGTATTCCCCAAGATATACCCTTTAAGAGATAATACAGGGCATCTCTACGACGAAGAACCAGAATTTTTTTAATTAATAATATTGTGTTCTCTTCTTACTGCGGGCTAACTAATTATTTATTAAATATGCCCGCGGGTTGCTCTCTTAATATTAATACAGGATTTCTAATGAATGAAAGTAGTGTAACAACCGCACGTCTGGATCTTGGAAAGCGTCCCTAAACTTCTTTGCAATTAAAATAATGCACTCTGTATAAACCTATCTTTACAGGAGCTATATTTCTTTCACTTAAAAGTTGGATCCGCATGCACGATGTAAAACCAGCACATTAATTCGCATATTCCTTCAGGTTCAAGGGGATCATGTGGAAGAATTTCCTAAACCCTAAGCCCTAAACCCACATACTAAACCCTAAACTAAGAACCAGAAGTTTCTGGGTTCACGGGATCATGTGGAAAACGCTGTTCATTGGTTTGAAAAGGCCAACCTTTGCTTGCTTCGAGGGCCTTCTGGGTCTCCCGCGTCCCTAAACTTGGCCCTAAACCCCAGGCCCCAAACCCCAAACCCCAAACCCCAAACCCCAAACCCCAAAACCCCAAAACCCCAAAACCCTAAACCCTAAACCCTAAACCCCAAACCCTAAACCCTAAACCCTAAGCCAGCCCGAGTAGCATGGTTTCGACCCCCCCCCCCCCAATGCTGCGGAGATGGGCTGCCGGCCTCCACGGGTTTAGGGGTTTAGGGTTTAGGGTTTAGGGTTTGTTGTCTCAGATACTTCCTTGCTTGCCTTGTTCAGAGAACAGGCCCTGCGAGTGAGAGCCAGGTGAAGTACGAAGCCTGTTGCAAAAGGGTTTAGGGTTTAGGGTTTAGGGCTGCAAGAGACCTGGTTGCAAAAGGGTTTCGGGGTTTAGGGGTTTAGGAGTTTAGGGGTTAGGGGCTAGAAGTTAGGGTTTAGGGTTTAGGGCTTATGAGGCAGTATTCTGATGTTGCCGCTGCACGGGCCCAGATTTGAACGTTGCGACGAGAGTTGGGCTTGTTTAAAGCTACCATACAGTGACAGTGACTGTGGATGGATATCCTCCGCCCTCATCGAGTGAGGGAGTGTCCCCTAAACCCCTAAACCCTAAACCCTAAACCCCTAAACCCCTAAACCCTAAAGTCGGAAAGGGTTGCAACAAGCATGTCTCCCGGGTGGTCTAGAAGACCACAGCATGAGGGGTTCCCCTACTACCCCCCCTCTATACTCCCCCTTGGTTCCCTTGAAGAGCCTTAGTTAGGCTTAATTATCCCTAGATAGCCTTATTTATGGGGGGGAACCTAGCAGGGGTAGTATGGAGGGGGTAGTAGGGGAATCCATGACGCTCAGCAGGTTTGTTGCGTGCAGCTTAGGTTAGTGACCTGGTGCCGGGATGCTTGGCAGAAGACCCTGGGAGCATGAGCGCAATGCTAAGTGACTGACGCAAGGTTTAGGGTTTAGGGTTTAGGGTTTAGGGTTTAGGGTTTAGGGTTTAGGGTGTAGATGTGCTCCTTGCCATCATGATGTGTGTCAAAGCGACTTACCCTGCGCGCGAAGTAGGGAGACCGCAAGAGTCCTAGGTAGGACAAGGGGGGGCCCCTTAAAAGGTAACCCTCCTGAACCCGAATCAGGCTCTCTTAAGCAGGGACCTTATTCAGAGGGTCTATATCCCCAAGGGTCCCCCTAATCCTAAACCCTAAACCCCAAACCCCAAACCCTAAACCCTGAACCCTAAATCCTATCCAATAAAGAGCCTAATTCTCGTCCAGGTGGCACGTGGCTCCCAGATTCCGCCGCCGAGGCCTGCATGGCCTGCGACGCAGCCTTCACGCTGTTTAGGCCGGGTTAGGGTTTAGGGATTAGGGTTTAGGGTTAGGGTTTAGGGTTTAGGGTTTAGGGTTTAGGGTTTAGGGCTTAGGGCTTAGGGCTTAGGGCTTAGGGCTTAGGGCTTAGGCCGGGCTGTGCTGCAATGGAGTCAGATTCAAAGGATGAGGACTCGCACCCCTAACGTTGTACCCCATAATGTACTCTGAATATGGCTTTTAGACTACCTATAAAGGATCTTTAAGAAGGGTCCCCAAAACCCAAGGGTACTACCTTTCCTGATAGACGCGCTCAACTTGCTGCACGGCCGTTAGGAGTTGTGACTGTGTACACCTCCATGTGTTGCTCCATCGCAACGCAGCTTCTTTCACTAGACTCATTACATACGATGTTGCATACGATGTTGCATATTTTTGTTTAGGGTTTAGGGTTTAGGGTTTAGGGTTTAGGGTTTAGGGTTTACATGTTCATCGCAGTTCAGGCGCCGCCACCACTGCCGCAGCTGCGGGCGGCTTTTCTGTGACCGCTGCAGCCCTTGGCGGGCAGGCCGAGCATGCGCTGCACTGCTCGGGTTTTCGCCTTTTGGTGTTGGGCACAAAGATATGTCTACCATTTGCTTAAGAACCCCGCCCCAAGAAAAAAGCAAAAAACAACATTCTTCCTGACAAGGGCAGTGTTTTTTTGGGAATTCTAGAGCAAATCGTAGTTGGGCAGTTCCTCTTTGGCAGGGGCTTGCTTTAGCTGCAGCACAGCTTGTTCAGCACCTGCCGACGAACCTTGTTGGCCAAACCGTTTATCGCCCAGGCACCCCAAACCCTAAACCCTAAACCGTGGCTGCTTTCTAGCTCAGCTGCCAAACACAAATCCCCCAGCTTTGCCTCGATCACGCATTGCGACTAGACCGTGTTTGGAATTATGCGTTGCCAGTTAATCACTTAATCCGCCCGTTGCTTTTCATGATTCGTTTCTGGGGCAATATTATACATGTATATATATATATATATATGGGTTTAAGACTTTTCGAGTTTATCCCCTTGCATAGTCCAGCCGTCTGTGTTTTGTACATGGAAGGCCTTGCAGCACGTCAGTGTGATGAATGCTTTCGTGCCAAGACGGAGATCTCTGAGGGCGCAAAGAAGAAAGACCAGGCCGGATTTGGTACTTGTTTTTTTTTGTGGTTCAAGGTTCCCTCATAAAGTAGCTAACCCCAAAAGGGTGCCCTTATGATAAATTTGGTTTTCTGGGCTACCAAGCAATGCTGTGTCATTAGTTGTTTTCTTTTACCTTACTGTTGGTTAGAAGGGGATGGGGCAATGAGGTACCCTACATCATCCCCTGAAAGGGTACATATAGGGCCCCGAATTCCCTCATTCCCTGCTCACCAACAGTAAGTAGTTACTGGCACAGTTGGGACGGTCCCAGAGAGCCCAAAACCCCTTAATTAAGCAATATTTGTTAAACCATATAGGGATCCTTAGCATGATTTAAGGAATATTCCTTAATTAAGGGTTTAGGCTTTAGAGGTTTAGGGTTTAGGGTTAGGGTTTAGGGTTTAGGGTTTCGGGTTTAGGGTTTAGGGTTTAGGGTTTAGGGTTTAGGGTTTAGGGTTCAGGGTTCAGGGTTCAGGGTTCAGGGTTCTTTGGGGTCTGCTACTGCATGACATCGCTTCCCAGGGCATCGTCGCGGAGCAGATGCGCCTGCTGGAAGTGCGACTGGAGGACTCCTAAACCCTAAACCCTAAACCCTAAACCCTAAACCCTAGAAGAACCTCTCCATCAGGTACCCGCGTGACTCGTAAACCTCTCCAGCAAAGCCCTTTGACTCCGAGACTCGGGATGGTCAGGGCATGAGCTTCCATGAATAGTGGAGTCGGACATGGCTCGCAGATTGTTCCAGGTCTTGTTTGAAAGACTTTTTTGACAAAAAGTATCGAAGTCCATCTTAGGTTTGCGTGGATCGGGTTTTCAAGAAACATTTGAAGCAGCCGAAGCAGCTCTTTAGGGTTAGTGTTTAGGGTTTAGGGTTTAGTGTTTGGGTTTAGGGTTTGGGGCTCTGCCCAATGCATGGCTGGAGGTTCTCGTGGGAACCTTGCGACATGACATGAACAGGGTGCAGACCGCACTTGGCAACGAAGGCCATGCATATTGCATACCCACATGGCATATTCAGGGGTAGGTCGGAACATAATTTTATTGTTTACTACCGTTAGTTCCCTGTATAATCCCTATAGAGCCACAGCCATTCATTGTTTTTTTGGGGCCCCCGCACCTACTCAAGTATTCACTTGTGCAGGACATGGAACAAGACAGCTGCCGATGAAGGAAGCAAGCAAGCAAGACAGAAGAGCGCCGGCAAAAGCAACGACCCAAAGAGCCCAATACACCCGCAGTTAGGGAATATACCTCCAATCCTACAATGCCCCATAATATGGGGAATATTATTCCTCAATCCTATAGTGGCCCTTTGTTTTCAGATATATTCCGCAATCCTATATGGGCCCCCAGTGTGATTTAAGGTAGGCATATTCCTTAATCAATGGGGTATGCGCTTTCTTAAACCCTAAACCCTAAAACCCAAACCGAAAACCCTAAACCCTTGTGAAAAAAAGTGGGCTTCCTGGGGAGAGGAAGTCGAAAGTGCGGCCGCCGCACGCGAGGCGGAGGATTTCTTGGGGGCTGCCAATGCCTCCTGGCCTTGAATGCGGGCATTGGGTCGTGAAGCTGCAGCGCTTTCGGGTTTTAGGGTTCAAAATGGGCTTTGCCAGGGTTCAGGGTGTGTGCGTGTGGTTGCGCATGTGCCAGCTTCCTATCCGCAAGGAAGCGTTCGCTTCGGCCTCATGGTCTTACGCAGCTCTTGTGCTGTCCTGCGATGTTGCCATTCACCTGCCAGAGCATGCGGGAGTGCATGAATGCGAGGTCAGAGTCCAAAGGGCATTCGACAGCCCACGGTCCAAACTCTCAAGTCAGGACTTCTCTGTTGCTGCAACCCTAAACCCCAAACCCTAAACCCCAAACCCTAAACCCTAAACCCTAAACCCCAAACCCTAAACCCTAAACCCTAAACCCCAAACTACACTATCCCTATACGCAATGAAGCAGCTGCTAAGGCCTTCCTGGGCCTCCTGGCAGTCAGCCTGCTGCTGGCGCTAGCATTCATGGGCGCCGAAAGGAGCGGTTGGGCTGGGTTCAGGGTTTACGGTTTCGGGTTTAGGGTTTAGGGTTTCGGGTTTAGGGTTTAGGGTTGGAGGCTCATGGGTACCCAAAGAGCCCAATACCCCTTAATCAAGGGGCATTCTTTAAATCATACGAAGGGTCCCTTTGTAGGTTAAGGTATATTCCTTATCTAAGGGGTTTTGGGCTCTTTGGGCAGTTAGAAGTAGGGTTTTACATGCTTATACGTCCCTCAAAGCCTTTGGCGTTATCAGTATAGTCACCATACTTATAACCCTACTTATAACTATCCATGAACCTCCCGGCTCGTTCTGTGCCGTGTTTGTGCTAGGTTTCAGGGTTTATAGGTTTAGGGTTTAGGGTGCGAGGACTCGCGCAAGCCTGCTGCAAAACGAATAAGCAGCAAGGGTTTGGGGTATGTTGGCGGCCTTCTCGCGTGTCTGGTACTGCCCAGAGTTGCCAGAGCCCTCATGCGAAGACTTGAAGCTCTTTGACCCAATGTTCCACCAAGTAAACATTCGGCCTATTGTGCCTCACAAATTAAAGTGTCCGGAAAGTCTGTCGTTTTTTTTCGGTGGAATAGGATTCAAAATCGTATGGGGTAGTTTAGTATTTGGTCCCAATCTTCTGAGCCCTGAGCCCTAAACCCCAAGCCCAAACCCTAAACCCTACAACCCTAAAACCCTAGAACCCTAAACCCCTAAAACCCTAAAACGCTAAACCCCTAAACCCCAAACCCTAAACCCTACAACCCTACAACCCTAGAACCCTAGACCCTAAACCCCTAAACCCCAAACCCTAAACCCTAAACCCTACAACCCTAGACCCCTAGAACCTAAGCCCCTAAAACCCTAAAACCCTAAACCCTAAACCCAAAAAGCCCTAGTCCCCCAAAGTAGAGTTCAGGGTGACGAGGAGCCATGCCTTTGTCCTGGCGGTGTGCGTGGTGCTGGGCAGGCTCCTGATGGGTTTTGGGTTTAGGGTCTAGGGTTTAGGGTTTAGGGTTTAGGGTTTAGGGTCTGATGCAAAAAGGGTTTAGGGTTCGTCTTGTCCGAGCTCCTTAGGGTTTAGGGTTTAGGGTTAGGGTTTAGGGTTTAGGGTCTAGGGTCTAGGGTTTAGGGTTTAGGGTTTAGGGTTTAGGGTTGAGGAATATACCCTAAACTACAACGGGATCCTTAGTATGATTAAAGGGATATTCCTTAATTAAGGGTATTTGGCTCTTTGGGTCTGCACGCCGGTTTCGAGGATACTCGTAGGCCTGGAGTTAAAAATCACCGGGTGGTGCTTGGTTAAGGCATCCACGACAGCGTAGGGTTTCGGGCTTGGAGGCAGTAGCAGGCAAATTGAGTGTGCGGGTTGACGAGCAAATCCCCAAAAACGCCAGCCAGAAGTCTATACTGACAGAGGCTCCACATACCCCTCAGTTCCCTTAGTTGAGGAACATTCCTTAAATCTTCTTCGAGTTCCGTTATGATTGAAACCCTAAACCCTAAACCCTAAACCCTAAACCCTAAACCCTAAACCCTAAAAGGAATATTCCTTAAGTGCGAGTTGGTGGAGAAGCTGGCATGCACCTCAGGGTCGAAAGCAGGACCACCCATGCACAGTATGAATGCAGATTCAGGCCCACAGGGTCGATTCCCAGACCCGAAGCCCTAAACCCTAAACCCCAAACCCTAAACCCTAAACCCTTGGCGCCAATCTTTCCAAGCCTGGGGTTCTGGTTGGCCTACAGGATGGTATTTCGGCGATGGTCGTGATGTCGGGCAGTGCCCCTTTGAAGTTGCCCTGCGGATGGCACCCTAAACCCTAACAACCCTAAACCCTAAACCCTAAACCTAAACCCTAAACCCTAAACCCTAAACCCTAAACCCTAACTTAAGGGATGCTGGGGGGCTCCCTGGGGAGGTTCCTGTTCTTCCGTCAGCTCCGAGCCTTGTGGCTCTGTGTCTCGTGGACCGCAGGAAGTTTAGGGTTTAGGGTTTAGGGTTTAGGGTTTCCAGGCTTCAGGCGATTGCACAAGTCCTGATGCAAAAAGGGCTTCCAGGCTTAAACGTTGTGCCGTTCTTTGCCATGGGATGCCCCCCTCCCCCCCCCCATTTCTCTTGATGAGGACATCTTGCAAGCCTGAGACAGCAAAAGGGTGCCCTGTGGCTCTTAGGGCTTAGGGTTTTATGGCATCATTGGGCATTTAAGGGTTTTTTAGCTGATGCCCTGAGTCTGGTTCACAAAGGGTTGAGGGTTACTTGGTGTCGTGAATCCCGGCTGAACGCTGATGAGCCACACCCTTGAGACTGCCTTCGTTCTGTACCCGACAGGCCAAGACCCTTGAAACAAGGAATAAACTAAGCTCATTTCACAAGAAGGGTCCTATTTGCTTGTTTAAGGGAACCCTAAACCGTAAGCCTAGGGAACCCTCCTGGAAGCCCCCCTCATTTAAGGGCCCTATAAAGTTGTTCAGAGGTCTAAGGTTGGAGAATAATGGGGAGATATAAGTAGGGTTGTAAGTACGTTAGAAATGTAGTTGCCACACACTTCAAAGACTACTTAACATCGGGTTTATGTGGGACGGTGTGGTAAAGCCTCAGCAGGTTTCGGTGGGTCCGTAGTACCCCAGCACCCCCCCCCCCCCCAATTACGGAAGACTCTAAAACTCCGTAAACTCTAAACCCCTAAACCCCTCAGCTCAAAATCGTGCAACTGACAGAGCCAAGCCTAACACTGCACCATGACCTGGCCCAAACCCTAGGTTTAGGGTGGGTTTAGGGTTTAGGGTTCAGGATTTAGAGTTTAGGGTTTAGGGTTAATGGAGCATGAGGGTCGAAACCTTATACCGATTCCCTCACATGGCTCGCCAGAGGTCCTGATTCTTTGGAAGCGTCTTGGTCTGCATCAATTTTGCACAAAAGGGCGGGTTAGCATTCAACAAGATCTGCGTTCATTGTTGTCATGTAGTTTATATAGTATGAATCCCAGTTAGTACCACGTCTTTCATATTAAAGACATGGCCCCTATAAACCCTATAAAGCCGTATAAACCCTATAAACATAAAGCGCTATAACGCTATAAACCCTATAAACCTCGTCAGGTACAAGCAGAGTGCTTGGGAGGCAAAACGCCTTTGCGAGGAGGACCGATGAAGAGTGTTCGTGCCGGTGCTTTCGACGGCAGGCTCGAGATCGCGGAGCACTTTCTTTTAGGGCTTAGGGCTTAGGGTTCCAGGATTTGGGGTTTGGGGTTTAGCTTAGGGTGGTTCCAACCCAGAAGAAGAAGGAACCCTTATCAGGGGGCTTCAGGTTGATCAAGGACTTAGGGTTCAGGGATCAGGGGTTAGGGCCCAATGCTGAGACCAGGCAGTCAATTCAGCTCCGATTTAGGGTTTAGGGTGCGGGGCATGAAGGGACTATATCCCCCTTGGGAATTGTTTTTCATTTTTTGTTTATGTAAAGCCCAAGAGGATATTCGATAGATTTTTTTCGCCAGGGTTCTAAGGGGAGTATAGGGGGCAGGTATTTGATAGATAGATCCATCGTGTGGAGCCCCTGGACGAACGTTAGCGAAAGGACTTGTCTGGGTGGTTCTTATTGGGGAAGGGGGGATTGAGCTACCTATATATTCCCTTGCAGGGTATGTCTCGGGCCCTAAGTCCCTCATTCTCGACTAATCCGAGCATCTGTTTAATTAATACCCCCCACATTTACAGAAATTTCTTTTGTCCGGAAGCCCGCCGGAAGACTACTTACCATTAGGGTGGATTTCGTATGGGGATAACCCCCCCCACATTTAAAGAAAGTTTTTTGGGGTGGTTGAAAATCTGTCGGCAGGCTTCTTGTTTTGCTTGCGGAGATGCGAAGCTACAGCACCTCAGGGATCTGCAGCCTTTTGTTTTTTAATAGAGAATCAATACAGGGCCATGGTCCAATTATTGCGGAACCCTGCCTTCCTTATTGCGGTGCGGGGGGTGGGGGGGGGGGGGCCCCAATTAAACAGATGCTCGGATTACGACCAGAATGCCTTTTTCACACTAAGGCCCGGGTCCCTATGCAGTTTCAGGTTTACCTTGATTGATGGGGTTTGGGCTGGGCACTGCAGCTGCGTGCAGGACGGCAAGCGGTTGCTGTCCGCACGATACAGGCCACATGTCGTCACCAAGCACGCAGAGAAGACGAGGGTTAAAGGTTTCCAAGGATATACAAACACCTTCGGCGCGAAATTGGCCTCTACATTGTGGTGACTGGGTATGGGACTGAACCCGACCCTCAAACTCCCCGGCCCTCCCAAAAAAAGGGTTGAGTAGATAACATGGGGGTGAGAAAATATATATATATATATACACATATATATATATGTGTGTATATATATAGATCGATATGCATACACACAAATTGTTCAGTGTATATACGAGTTCCTGGGGGGGGGGGGGGGAGAGTTTTCGTAATTATGTAGGCTTTTGTCTTACACATGTTGGCTGTTGGGTCATGTTCGGAACCTTCCATTCACAGTCATGCCCCCGACTGAGATGGCAAGGCACAGCCTCACAAACCTGGATGGCATGTCCAGGGATCCAGGCACCCCTTAATTCAGGCATCTGCATCTCTCTCTCTCTCTCTCTCTCTCTCTCTCCTCTCACTCTCTCTCTATATATATGTATATATACATACATACATGGGTCTTACCCCGAAAATAGCGAATATGTATATATATATATGTATATATATATATATTATTTATTTATTTATTTATTTATTTATTTATTTATTTATTTATTTATGTATAAATATATATATAAGTATACATACATACATACACACATACATACATACATACAAACATGTATACATCCGTATATATGTATATATATATATATATATTTATTTGTTTATATGGGCCTTAACCCGAAACCATCAACCGCACCACGCCGCAGGGTCCTGGCTTTTCTCGGCGCTCGAGGCCTGCGACAGCTTGGGGGCGTATGGCCGTCGCACAGCAGCACATGATACATTCGACCGTGTTTAGGGTTTAGGGTTTAGGGTTTTGGGGGCCTTCCCACCCTCCAGACACTAAAAAGGGTTAGAAGGTATAGTTATCATACTTACCATACCTACTTATAATACCCTAAGCCCTAAACCCTTTCATGGCTTTGAGACGGACATGTATAGCTTCCGACTTGTCCTGACAGCCGTTGGGCCGAGACCTCTCGCCCTCCACATTTCCCCAAAGAGCCCTTTAAAACCCCTTAGTTAAGGAGTATACCGTATCCCTTAAATCGTACGAAGGATCCCGATATCGCTTAAGGTATATTCTTCAAAGCCCCTTAGTTAAGGAGCATGTCGTAAACCTTAACATCATACTCAGTATCCCCATGTAGTTTAAGGCATACATCAAACCCCTTAGTTGAGGAGTATAACTTAAATCATACCAAGTAGCCTTGTATGTAGTGTATAAGGTATATTCCTTGACGAAGGGGCTTTGGGCTCTCTGGTTCCTTGAAAATGTGCCGTATGGAGAGCCTGCGTTCTGATATAGGGCAAAAGCTTTGTGCGCCGCCGTTTGGGGTTTAGGGTTTAGGGTTTAAGGATGGTTTAAGGTTTAGGGTTTAGGGTTTAGGGTTTAGGGTTTAGGGCTCATGTTGTGTATCAAGGACCCTGTAGCCCTCGAGGCTTGTCTGAGCTCCCTGAACCCTCAGCCTAGCTCAGGAAAGTGGGCCAATACCTCAGCACTCAAGGCAGGATGATGTACCTCGTTCAGCTTGGGCAAGTGATTCTGGCTGGCGTCTCAGCAGAATCCTAAACCCTAAACCCTAAAACCCTAAACCCTTAGATCTTCCTTCAAAGCCGTGGACATCGACGGGGGGATCGGTTCCAGTATCGACCCGCGATTGAAAACTGTCATCCAAACTCGTTTTGCACCACTTCTCTGGGCGAGTGAGGTAGGTCCCACTTGCCCTGAAACCAGCCTTTCTAAGGTGCTTATACCCCGGCTGATAACTACCCATGAACCTCTTAGCCCTTTTCTAAGGCACTTACAAGCCTACTTATAAATACCCATGAACCTCCTCTAGCCCGCTTTTTGAGGCACTTAGAACCCTGATAACAACCACCGATGAACCTCCAAGTAGTTCATGGGTAGTCATATGTGGGCTATACGTATGGTACCCATGAGCCTCCAAGATCCGTTTGTAAGGCACTTGTAGCCCTACTTGTAGCTACCCATGGACCTCCCAGTAGCCTTGGCAGGCGACAAGTGGCCCGACGAAGTTCTTTCGGAGCCCTTCGGCCTGTTCACTGTTGGGCTGGTCATTGCACCCAGGAGTCAGAAGAGAGCCGATGTGGAGGTTTAGGGTTTGGGGTTTAGGGTTTAGAGTTTAGGGTTTAGTCAAAAGTGTACCTTCCGGAGAACCCTATACACTCTAAGGAAGGACTTTACTAATACTAGGATCCCTTAGTTCACATGGGGTCGGAATAATTACGAATAATATTCCCTTGTAGTCCCTTTATATTTCTACTACAATAACCCCCAAAAACCCTGTTCTAACTATAAAGGCCAGTATACTTGTAGCCCTAAACCCTAAACCCTAAACCCTACACCCCCTATATTACGTCCCGAGGCTGCGAAAGCTGCGCGACGCGATGCCTGCTGCACCGGCTCACGTCACAAGACGAACCATCAAGGCAACTCGGGTTTAGGGTTTAGGGTCAAAACTTCAGGTGGTTCCCAGAAACTCTATTCTAATCATCATTAGAACTCATTGCGGCATAAGGTTACAGGGCTAAGTACCCTAAACAGGGATATAAGTATAGTTACCATACTGATATAACCTTACCGTATAGCTACGTACCCATGAGAATTGGCCCTAAAGCCTAAACCCTCAAACCCCAAAAAAACCTAAACCCTCAATACCCTAAACCCAAACGGGGCCGTGCTACCGATTGCTGCCTCGCCAAATGTTTGCATGACCCGACAAACTTCACGGAGTTGCGAGGGAGGAGCTCTTTCCGAATATTTCGTAGGGTTTAGGGTTTAAGGTTTGGGGACAACTCTGGGCAAAGCGCCGCTCAGGATTCAACATTACCATTTTTTGAAGATGCCCAAAACACTTTCACGATAGAGACCTTGCGGGATGTGCGGGAAGTTTGTTTTCCACATTTTGGCTTATGAAGGGCTTGTTATGGTTTAGGGTTTAGGGTTTAGGGCCTGGTTAGGGTTCAGGGTTCAGGGTTCAGGGTTCAGGGTTCAGGGTTCAGGGTTCATGGTTTAGGGTTTAGGGTTTAGGGTTGTTGAGGGTTTTGGGTTTTTAGGGTTTCAGGGCTTAGGATTCCAGGTTCCTTAAAAAGTGCTTTTTCCACGGCCCATCTGCTCGAGGAAGATTTGGGCAAGACGGTGGAAGAGCTCTTCCGAAGCTTTGAGGCTGAGGGTTTTAGGGTTTAGGGTTTGGGGTTTGGGGTTTGGGGTTTGGGTTTAGGGTTTAGAGGCAGGAAGGTCAAGATGGGAGTCCTTCCTGATGTGCAGGCAGAGAGGAATCGCCAACGCCGTGCCTGCTACCCGAGTTCACCTTGAACGTTTGTTTGGCCAACAGCTGCCCGCAACGCTGCCTAAAACGCGAGCCTAAACAAACCCCGTACTCCCTCCCCCCCCCCCCCCCCGGAAAACCCTTAACCCTAAACCCTAAACCCTAAAAAAGAGCAGGGGAAAAAGGCAACCTTTAAATTCAAGCCAAGGAGCCCAAGGAATGAAAAGACACCCCTTGCATGACGTCAGGGCCAAGCTCCCCCAGACAGGAGCAGCCAATTGCCAGCGCGTCCATCGGCCAGGTGCACAAGGCAGTGCAGCACCCTTAAACCTACAGGCCTAAACCCTAAATTCTTCACCCTTAGTCCTACTACCCTACATCAACTCCCCGTGTGTCAAGAATGTACAAGTAGACCTGAACCTAAGCCCTAAACCCTACCTTTATTTAGACCTAACCCTGGGATGTGTTGACTTCTGGCCATGATTGGAGTGGCGAGATGGAAGTCCGAGAAATAGAACAGCAGTGCCGCAGTGCAGCACGCAGGATGAACTTCGGGTTTAGGTTTTCGGGTCCTTCAGGGTCAAGGATTTAGGGTTTACGGGTTTAGGGTTCAGGGTTTAGCAGGCCAGATGCAAAAGGGTTCAGGGTTTAGGGTTTAGGGTTTGGGGGTCGAGGGTTTAGTGTTCAGGGTTTAGTGTTTAGGTGCATCTGGCTTGCTTGCCTTCAGTCCAGTGGCACAAGGGTTTAGGCGCATGTATGAGATCTATGCAGGCGGCAGCACAAAAAGCTAAACCGCCATTGGCTTCCTTGTTCTTGGCATCGTCGCGAGCCTCAAGTGCGGGAAATACGATGGGTTTGACACTCCAGTATAACTTAGTGAGGGGCTGTCCCTTGTAAGCTGCAACACTTCACCTTAAACTCTTAACTCTAAACCCTAAACCCCACATGACGTTGGAGTCTCTGGGTTTGCCCGAAGGCCTCAACCCCAAACCCCAAAGTAGATTAGGCTGCGACCAGCACCTTTGGCAAGGTACTACTGTGGGTTAGGGGTTTAGGGTTTAGGGTTTAGGGTTTAGGGTTTCCGAAATTGGGGTACCTTATTGGGACCCTTATTGCAAGGGAATCCTACTATTTGGGGGGGCGGGGGGGGTCTATTTTAGGGTGCCCTTGTTTTCGTGAACCCCCATCTATTCTTGTTAATAAGCAGATGCACAATGATTCCGTTCGGGTCTAGGGTTTGGGGCAACAATGCTGAGAGCTGTTGGCCTCCTTTTGGCCGAGACTTGCTAGGAATCAAGAATGGTTTCGGGTTTAGGGTTTAGAGCACTACACGCCTGCGAATCCAGCATGAAATCCATGGAGCAGAACAGAGGCGATCCTTCACGATGGTCGGCTAGTGGCAGTGCCTCTTGTCTGCAACTCATTGCGGCGCCCTTGTTTTCCTGCTGCGAACGTAGGGTCTGCCTAAACCCTGAGCCCTGAACCGCCTAAGCCCTAAACCCTGATTCCCCACAGCTGGTTTGTTGAATCACCCTCAGAAGGACCTCCAAAATGGCTCCCCGAGCTTTTGGAAAGTCGCGCGTGTACCTGAAGAAGAACCTCTCGCCTCACCTTACTCAGGGTAGGTAACCTTTAGCCTTTTGGTTTCTCTAGCATCCTTGAAAGGTTGGCCTTGCTTGGCCCTGACAATCCCATACAGGCTTCGTGGCTTTTTGGTTAGTAGGGGATTAGGGACTCTAAACCCCAAACCCTAAACCCTAAACCCTAAACCCTAAACCCTAAACCCTAAACCCTAAACCCTAAACCCTAACTCCCCTCTTTTTGGCTAGTAAGACAGCCCCGGCCAATCTGAAGGAAGGTCCAGCACCGGCATGCAGAAAGACAAATCCCGATCGATCCCTCGCAGCAGCCGGAGACTTGCGAAGGGCTTGGGTGGCTTCAGGGTTGAGGGGTTTAGGGGTTTAGGGTTTAGGGGTTTAGGGGTTTAGGGTTTAGGGTTTAGGGTTTAGGGGCGCACCTTTGAAGGTTTGCCTAGACCTCTGCGCCCTAAACCCTAAACTCCCCATAAATCTCCTACAGCAGGGGCGGGGCCCTTGAAGGGTTACTGGGTTGTCCTCGGGAAGCCATAACAACCTCCGAAGCAAGACCGACCACGTACGACGGCGAATGTCATGCACGCAGGCTGCGCTGACAGGGTGTAGATGCAGCCCATTAAAGTTGCTGAATGAGCAGCATGTGTATGTAATTAGCATCCAGGGACTTACCCTAAACCCTAAAACCCTTTCTGCGACGACATGCCCACGCGCTTGCTTTCCCATTCACGTGATGGACGACTATGGTGAGAAAGGGCTAGGGCATTGTCGAGATCACAGCAGGGTCTGTCCAGCACGTGCCGAGTAGTGCCTGTCACTTAGCCTGCTGCAGGCTTTCGAAGCCGCGTAGCAAGTGCGGTCTTCACCCAGGGCTCCGTTCCCCGCCCTTAAGATCAAATTTAACAAGACCACCTGCGCTGCCTGAAGCCTATAGGCGGTTGATGATTCCCCCTGCCTGGAATCACCTGGAAAGGCGCCTGGAGTCATCTGAAGAGTTTGAGAGTCGCCCGAAGTAGTCTCCGCAGTGTGGGCGAGTGCTGGGTGGGTAGCGAAAACCTAAACCCAAAATGAAGAGGGTGCCATGCTCATAAGGATGTCGCCTACATGCGCCTCCTTGCGAATCTGGCATGGTTGCTGACGATGGGCGAGGTTGACTTGATGCCCGTGGCCCCTCGGATTGCACCTCATGGTTCATGGGTAATTAGTCATTAGTTAGTATGGTATCTAGGGTACTTATAACCTTCCTTACAACTACCCAAATGAACCTCCAAGAAATTCTTTGTGTTGATCCCGCACCTGCCTTCTGCTTGGGCTGTGGTGCTGTTGATGCTAGTAGCGCACTAGCGCGCTGTGGTGGCTCAGGCTTGTTTTTCAGGCCTGCGGCCATCCTTCTTTGGGCATACTGCCGTAACTTGGGATGTTCCCCCTTCTACTAACAGTCCTTAATCGGGATTCTAGTACCCCCCTATTAGAATCATCCCTATTAAGGACTCTTAGTGTATTGTTATAAGGAGGAACATCCCAAGCCGTAGCCACTTAGCAGGTGGTGGAGTGGCTTGGTGCCGTGGTGGAAGAGCTGGACTTTAAGAACGAAGCCAAGAATCAGACTCTCCGGCACTTTAAGCTCTAGGGTTTAGTGTTTAGGGTTGAGGGTTTAGGGTTCTAATCCCCCCTCAAACCCAAGTTCCTGTACCTACATGCTGGCAAGTGGTATTGTACCCCTAAGCCCAAACCTGAAACCCCAAACCCTGAACTACCATTTGCTTAAGAACCCCCGAAAATCACAATAAGGAAGAATGCTTTTTTTTATTTTCCGGGGGTTCTTAAGCAATTAGTAGTGAAGGGCGCCTGGCAAGAGTGTTCTTGTTTCCCACGCTCAAGGGCGTGCCCCGGAAGTTGTTGCGTCCCGCCAGCTCCTGGGAGCCGCAAACAAACCCACATACAGCCCCTGCAATGCGAGAGTCGAAGCTCAAAACCTTTAGCTCAACCCCTAAACCCTAAACCCTAAACCCTAAACCCCAAACCCTCTATCAACCTGTGAAACTGAAGAAGTGCCCCACTCTGCTCTGAATCATACCACCCTGGGCCCTAAGTCCATCTAGGCCGAGAGAAGCCTTTCAGCAAGGCCCCCAACCCTAAACCCTAAACCCTAAACCCTAAACCCTAAACCCTAAACCCTAAACCCCGGTTTCCTAAGCCATTTGCACGCAAGACCTCCCTCTACAAGCCCTATAAACCGGCTTGTGTTGCCCTAAGCCCCCGAGAGGTTTAGGGTTTAGGTTTTAGGGTTTAGGGTTTAGGGTTTAGGGTTTAGGGTTTAGGGTTTAGGGTTTAGCAACAGAAGCCTAGACATCCCTAAGCCCCGAAGCATTGCAGCCTCCCCAAAGAGCCCAATACCCCTTAATTCAGGATAGTATACCTTGAATCATGCCAAGGATCCCTGTCTAGTTTAGGGTCTATTCCTAAACCCTAAACCCTAAACCCTAAACCCTAAACCCCAACTTGGGGGTTTTGGGCTCTCGGGGTCGTCCCTTCACCCAGGGCACGGGGCCGCGCAGAGCTCCAAGCAGCGGGCCTCGACATTGCGGCCTGGATTTTCCCCTCAACCCTCAACCCTAAACCCTAAACCCTAAGGAATGAGGGAATGAGGTACTCTACACAATCCCTTAAAGGGTATAGATAGGGAATGAGGGAACGAGGTACTCTATATAATCCCTTAAAGGGCATATATAGGGCCCTATTTTCCCTCATTCCCGACTGAGAACCAGGGGATTTTTCAGGATGGGGTTCCCAGGGCCCCTTGAATAAGGAGTATTCTGTAGCCCCGTAGCCCTAAACCCTAAACCCTAAACCCTAAACCCTAAACCCTAAACCCTAAACCCTAAACTAAACCAAGGCGGTAACCAAGGGTACTACAGAAGAGGGGGGGGGGGGGGGTAGGAGGGAAACCCATGACAGGCGCGCTTCCAGAGTGGCAGGTCTTACGTCGAGTAGTCGGCCTATTGCTCGAGCATGTTTGCGTCATGCTTAAACCCTAAATCCAAAAACCTAAACCCTACCTAAAACCTAAACCCTACCTAAACCCTACCTAAACCCTAAACCCTAAACCCAAAAACCTAAACCCTCCCTAAACACAATGCTCAGGTTGTGCCCGAAGTCTACGAGTCCCTCTGCGGCCGTCGTGTGCTCGTCATGGAGTTCGTGAGGGCCTGAGACGCTGCATTGAAAGCACAACTGCCTCACAGTATGTCGCAGTATGCCACCCGAACCGTGCTCTAAACTCCAAGCCCTAAAAACCCTGAATCCTAAGCCCTACTTGGAAGCCTTTTTAGGAATAGCAAGTCCACGTCGTATTTCGTATTTTCTCGGAACCCCCCTTACAATCCCGATAACCCCACTTACTAAGTCGAAAAATGTGCTTCCAAGTAGCCTGAGGACTAAATCAGTGTTAGGGATCCTTTTTTCTTTTTGGCTTATGGGCTTTCTTATATGTAAACAAAAAGGATCCTTTATTTCTTCCTAGGGGAACAGGGATTAAGAGGAGGTCAGGGCCGGGACTGGGGGTGGGACTTGAACAAGAGCTCGAAGCTGCGAGGGAATCACGGGGGGGCCCGATACCCTTCAACTGCAGTTCGTAGGACCAACCCTAAACCCTAAACCCTAAACCCTAAACCCTAAACCCTAAACCCTAAACCCTAAACCCTAAACCCTTTTCCTTACTGAAGGGGAGTGTGGGGCTTGCTGGAAGCACGTAGCCCAGACTGAGAAGCTGCCTCCCCTCGGCTGCTCTCAAGACGCTGTCTCTACTATCTTCTTAAGAACCCCAAAACCGAAAACAAAAACGTGTTCTTCCTTCCAGGGGTCGCAATCTCTTTTGTTTTGTTTTTTTTGGTTTAGGGTTTAGGGTTTAGGGCTTAGGGTGAGCAATTCGTAGTTGACTACAGACACCAGCCTTTGAACTGATCCTGACAATGAACCCAGAGAGCTCCTTAAACCCCTTAGGTAAGGAAGATGCCTTCAACTATATGAAGCAGGGGATATATTACTGTTATTGGTGACTGTATATAAGGTTCCTTTTTAATATTGGTGAGTGTATATACTTGGTGGCCGTTTGGTGATACAAGAAATATAGGCCCTACTTCATATAGGGATCTTTGGTATGTCCCCCCCTGTACTTACAGTCCTCAATAGGAATCATCGTTGCGAGGGTACTCTAATCCCTATTAAGGACTGTTAGTTTCAGGAGGAACATCCCAGATGGGATCTTTGGCATGAATTAAGGCGTATTCCTTACTTAAGTTATTGAAGGAATACACCCGAAACCTTATCAGGGTCCTCATTTTGCATTAAGGCCTGCATTCCTTAGTTAAGGGGTGGTTTCGCTTGCTGGGCGCTGCTTTCGTTCGCCATATGTACGGTTCTCTAAATGGCAGAAGGGGCGATTTTTGTGCAGCCCGTCATAGTTCAGGAATACCCACACAAGAATGCTACCAAAGAGAACCCGAACCCAAAAGTCACGCAGAATCGAGGTCGAGGGCCACCAGGTCACGGCGGGCGATGCATCAATGTCAGCAGCCGAACGCCTGCAGGCTCCGCTGCCCTCCTTGGTTTAGGGTTTGGGGTTTAGGGTTGGGGTTTAGGGTTTAGGGTTTAGGGTTTAGGGTTTAGGGTTTAGGGTTTAGGGTTTAGGGTTTCAGAGCCAGCTGACATGCAGAGTCTGGATTCAAAAAAGGGTTTAGGGTTTAGGATTTAGGGTTTAGGGTTTTGGGTTTAGGGTTCCAGGTGGCCCAGTGGTAACCTCTAACCGATTTTTTGGTTCAAGGTTCCCTTTGTAGAAGTACCCAACGGACACAAAAGGGTGGAATTCGGTACCCAAAAACCATACTAATAGGGTTTTGGGGTGCCTAATTCCATAATCGTACTACGAATAACCCCCTAAACCCTAAACCCTTAAACCCCTAAACCCTAAACCCCTTCGCAGGTTATGACGTCCCTGGTCCGGGCGTATGCGCACGGACTGTTTGTGTCCGGGCACTTCAACGGCGATCCTCATGTTGCTTGGCTTCTTGCGAGAGACTTTCCTGGGACTCCAATACCCCTTAATTAGGGAAGGTTTAGGGTGTAGGGTTTAGGGCTTAGGGCTTAGGGCTTGGGGTTTAAATATAATCGGTTTAAGGAATATTCCTCCATTAAGGGGTGTTGGCGTCTCTGCTTCTTCCATGTTCCAGAGGTTCGCACGTGTAGAATGCTGTCGGGCAAGCCTGAGGCGGGCAACCTACTGGTGACCCGCAGGAATGGGAAGGCGCAAAGGGCTTTGGCGAGCGATGCCCTATGGTCCCTTTTTGGCTGGATCCCTATGATTATTATTATTATTATTATTATGATTATGATTATGATTATTATACGGCACCTAATATCTAGGGTACCCCAAAAGGAGTCATAATTCTCACAGCCACCCAAATCCGAGTTCTGTAGGGGAACCAGGTTACACGGCTTCAGAGTCGAGGTTGAAGTTGCTTCGAGTGATTGAGAGAGCGCGAGAGAGGCTGGGCGCCGCTGCCACCGAAAACATGAACCCAAAGAGCCCAAAACCCCTTAATGAAGCAAGATTCCTTAAACCATATAGGGATCCTTAGTATGGTTTAAGGAACATTCCTTAGTTTTAAAGGGGTATTAGGCTCTTTGGGAACTACATACATGCTAGCAACTCCCGCGCTGTGGAACAGCAGCGCACTGGCCAATCCTGCTTCTCAGGGGCACGGGAACAAATAGCTGCATCAAGATTCGATGGGTGGATAGACCAAAATTGGAATTCAGCTCCGGGTTTAAAAGGGCTGCAAAAAGTCATGCAGCCATTTCAAGCCCGGAGCTGAAGTGCTGCATCATGCCGGAAAAGAGGTCGAAGGATATCTACATGCAGTACTCAGCACTTCAGCTTCGGAATCGCCTCAGCTCCAGTCCCCAGTGCCCCCCCAACAAAGTGGGAATTCGTATCGTTGGGGCTTCTTTTTCTTTTACATAAGGCAAAGACCCTCCTACAGAGGGACCTCCTAGGGAGGGATCTGGGGTCTCAATTCCCGGGTGTTGAGGGCCCAAGAGCCTTGGTGATCTTTCGCACATCTCCAGGCCCAATGCGTGCTGTTGGCACCCTGGCTTGAAATGGCTGCCTCTTGCACGGGCTGCAGGGTTTAGTGAAGTCGAGTGTTTAGGGTTCGGGTTCAGGTTTTAGGGTTTAGGGTTTAGGCTTGACTGGCTCCCTAAACCCGAAACCCGAAACCCGAAAGCTGCTGTGGGCATGAACTGCTGGCGTATTCTCGTTGAGTTTCGTGAAGCATTGTATAATTCCACCACAAGACTACCAAACCCTGGACCCTCAACATGAAAATTAACCCTGAGCATGGCAGCTTGTTTGCTGTTGTTACGGTTTAATTAGGGTTGTTTACGGTCCCTAAACCCTAGGCCATCAATCTCGATACAGCAAGAGGCAGGCGTTCTGCGTTCGATTTTGCGCCCTCGTGGGGGCGGGGGGATTATAGGAGGGTTTAGAGTAGGGCTTGTACGTATAAGATTCGATGTGAGGGTGTGTTGGCTGCATACAGGGTTTATGCTTGGAGGTTCATGGGTAGCTATCAGTAGGGTTAGAGGTATGGAAACCTATACTTATAACCCTACTTATAACTGGTTATGAACCTCCAAGCCAGGTTTAATTGAAGGGTTTGGGGGGTCGCGACCACTCGCCCTTCAAGGACTGGGGCCTTACGAAGGAGCTAACCAACCAACGGCGGCTGGCTGCCTGCGCCACGGATCATCAAAGCTGGGATATTTGGGGGGGTTTAGGGTTTAGGGTTCATACTGGCAGAGCGCGCGGGGTCAAAAAGGGTTCATACTGGCAGGCAGGGCAGCAGTCCTAGCCGTAGAAAAGGGTTCATAGGGTTTAGGTGTCGGGCGTAAGGTTGGTTAGGGCTTAATTAGGGTTCCGAGAATAGGGTAGGGCTGTATTTGTGGTCTGTTAGGTGTACCCCTTTTTTGGGAAATGCAACCGTTTAGATGCGCAGCCTCTGAATGTTATCTTTTGACCTCAAGCAGAACGATTCAACGGCAAGGTAAGCTCATCGTGGCCGTGGGCATGAAGGCATCCAGTGTTGCCGTTTCTGGTGGTTCAGGGCTTAGGGTTTCGGGTTTAATTTTCAGGGTTTAGGGTTCACCGGCAGCCCCCCAAGTCCGTTGCTCAAAAGAGTTTAGAACAATGTGATGCCTTCCCCGATGACGAAACAGTCTCAACCCTGAAGCTTGCAGCTGTGTGCTGAGCCGGAGGATACCAACGGCATTGTGGAGGCTTTCAGGGAGATGGGAACCTCTTCAGCAGTTTGGCGGGTTCCTTGCAGTTGAAGCAGGAGGATCCCCGGTAAGCTCAGCTATGCTCGGCTACTCAGAAGCCATCGTCCAGCAGAGGCATGAACTTCTCCGCGCACGCAGATCCCGAGCCCGACCTGCTTTTGGCAATCCTGCGGCACATCAGCTTGATTGAGCACAAGAAGGAGTCCAGGAGGCAAGTTTTGGCATTTTTCTTTGGGCTCGTCGACCGTTCAGATGTGCTTATGGGGGAGCGTTATGATGAGCTTCGTTTCGGCCTGCTTCCATGCGTGGGTTGGCGTCATGCTTTTGTCAGTCTTAGCCGGGTCCTGCTGGATGACGCGCATTGTGGGGGGGGGGGGGGGGGGGCAGGGCGGCCAACAAAACGGCCATTTAGCAACCGCATGAAAATTGAAACTGCTAAACAGGATCCAAGCGAAGTTCGGCGAGACAATGGAGAAAGCCATCTCCCACAAAATGGACCTGCACACGAAGGCGAGGAACTGGCAGTCCAACATAGCTTTTGGCATATGTTGGGTCATGCCCCCGACAGAAACAGTCCGAGCAACTTTTGAACCCTAAACCCTAAACCCTAATGTTTAGAGTTTAGGGTTTCGGGCCAGAGGTGGACAGCTACACGGGCGACTTCTTCTTCATTTTCCGCGTGGCCTCGCTCATCAAGGCATGTCTCGAAACCCGAACCCTATATCCCCCTTGGGAGTTTTTTTCTATTTTTGTTCCCCTAAACCCTAAACCTAAGAGCATATGAAACATACTATTTTTATTAAGGTTCTACGGGGAGTATAGAACCCCTTGATTCTTCGTCCGGGAATGAGGGAGTGAGGTGCCCTACGTCATCCTTTAAAGGGTATAGCAGGGGGACCTAAACCATGAGACCGAGCCTGGTAGTGTTTTGTTTTAATGTATATTCTAAATTTTGGCCTGAACCCTAGGCCCTAAACCCTAAACCCTCATGGGAATCGTGATTTTTTATCATCCCCACTTGATGCTGGCGCCAGGGCTTGGCGACGGTCTTGGATATCCGAGCCCAGCGCCTTTGCTGCCCGAGCTTCTGCTGTTGTTCATCTACTATTTGCTTAAGAAGGGTTTAGGGTTTAGGGTTCAGGGTTTAGGGCAAACCCTAAACACTAAACCCTAAACCCTCCCCAAAAAACAAAATAGTAATCCCTTTATTGCCCATATAAGGCAGAACAGTGGCAGAGCATTTTTTTTATGTGGGGTTCTTCAGCAAATGGCAGTCATTGTTACAGATCTTCACCCCCGGCCGGAAGCTTTGGGCACGGCACCAGAGTAAGCACGTTTCAGTGTTAGTCTGGGTGGTTCCTCGTAGGGAAGGAGGGAATTAGGGCCCTCTATATACCCTTCAAGGGACTTAAATAGGTACTTCATTCCCTCATTCCCTACTAGGAACCAGCCAGGTTTGGCTTCTCTAAGGTTCCTGGAGATCTTCATCGATGTCAGCCGGAAGGTCCTCGCTGGACCCCGTCCGCACCCAGCACCCCCATTGGCGGCGCTTAGCAGTGCGGAGGCCGCCTGAGTGAGTCACAACCCTAAACCCGAAACCCCTAACCCCTCAACGCTAAACCCCTAAACCCTAAGCCTTAAAGCCTATAACTGAGATCCCTCAAGCCCGGTCTCCCTTCAACCCCAAACCCTACACCCTAAACCCTAAACCCTCGAATATTACAGGCTTATGTTCGCAACAAGGGGTTTTCTGAAAGCAAGTGGTGCCCTTTCTGGGAAGAGTCTTTAGATGACTTCTTTTCTGGCAAGCCCCCGTAGAGGAATGTTCTTATTTCCTCAATTTCGGCAGCTATTAGGTTTTGGGGTAGGTTTAGGATTTATAGGGTGGCCTGATTGGTTGAGCATGCATGTTTGCCCGATGGATCCAGGCGCGGCTTGCCCGTGAAGCGCATCGAGCCTTGCAACGCGGGGCTGTAGGCCAGGAAGTGGGTTGCCTAGGACCCAAAGCAGGCCTTTTGTCCTCTGATGTTTAGCGGTTAGGTTGTCTAAACGAAAACCCTAAACCCTTCAACCCTAAACCACAAACCGATTGCAGCGCCTCTTTAGCAGCGCCGGCTCAGGTTTCATGTGTGTTTGCATCTGGTCGAGCGTACTTCGCAGGATTGCAAATCGACCACAACAGTATCTGCCGTGGGTAGGTTTAGAAAACACAACGAAGCAAATCAAGGCTTGAAGGTGCGCAAGAACAGTTTCGACTGAGCGGCACGATAAAATTCAGCCTTTTCAGATGCATGACGGCATGACGAGACGATGCGGCAAGCGTCTGAACATCGCCACGATTTGTTGCAGCGTGACATCGGCGGGATGCTAAGTGGCCCCGCTTCAGCTGGATGTGGAGCGACTCGATTCGCACGCCGGGCGTGTGTGGGCTTGTTGGCTGCTTGCCTTTGGCTAACTTACTCAACGCCGCATGCTTCGAATGGCCATGCAGCGGCACCGTGGAGACAAGCAACAGCCAGCTGCAGTGTGTCTCGGGCTCGGAGTAGGCCCTTCTTCCCTTTCTTTTAGGGCTTAGGTTCCCTTTTTTCAGGCACCTTTAAACCAAAAAGGGGGCCCTTTTTATTGCTAGACTACTCCTGGGTCTAGGTGTCGTGGGAGGTGGCGGCTGGCGTGCGTGCAGTGCCACGGCCCCTGAGTTTCCTCCTCCCTCGCCGGAAGACTCCCAACAAGGAGCTCCCACTCTATGTCTTCGCTGATGACGAGAGCAAACCCATGGAGCCTTACTTAGCCAAGAGTTGAACTTTAAACTTTTTTGGGTTTCTTTTTTTAGAATTAGGAAGATTAAAGTTGAACCTTTTTTCCCTTGGTTATTGGAGAAGTAATCAGGAGCTGGATCGTGGCTGGGGGGTACACACCAGCATGGCAGATGTGTTGGCAAAGGCTGACGATTGGCTTCATGACTCGCCGATGGCGCGCTCCCCTGTACTTGCGCTGTGGAAACCACGGGGGGTCATCTCAACTATGGCCCCGAAAGAGCCAAACAACTTGAAACAATTCCTGGAGTCTTTGACGTCTTTTGAGTGGCCGGCTGGACGTCCATTGCAACTATGACGCCGAATACTAGCCGTATTCCCCTCTCCTTAGGGTAAGGATCTCTCTTTTTCTCGCCAAAACAAAACCCCCCAAGGAAGCACGGACAACACGCCGTCTGTTTTCTCTCCTAGGCTAAACCCTAAATCCCAAACCTTAATTTCCTCAACCTAGGCAACATATCGGTCGGCTCGACAAAGCAACGTCGGGTCTGCTCTTGCTCACGGACAACGGCGACATCAGCCGGATACTGCGGGCGCCCCAAGGCATTCGCAAGACATACGTTGCAACGGCAGCTCTGATCATTCTACTGGAGTTGGTGTTCTCGTATAGAGTGAATTTCACCCTTAACCTGAAACCTTAAAGCCTAGAGGCCTTAAAGCCTAAACCTCCACCCCTAACCTGAAACCCTACAAAACACAAATCCCTAAACCCTAATCAGGGTTTAGGGTCAGGGTTTAGGGTGTAGGGTTTAGGGTTTAGGGTTTAGGGTTTAGGGTTTAGGGTTTAGGGTTTAGGGTTTAGGGTTTAGGGTTTAGGGTTTAGGGTTTAGGGTTTAGTTAGGGTTTAGGGTTTAGGGTTTTGGGTTTAGGGTTTAGGGTTTAGGGTTTAGGGTTTAGGGTTTAGGGTTTAGGGTTTAGGGTTTAGGGTTTAGGGTTTAGGGTTTAGGGTTTAGGGCGAGGGGGGGAAGTTTTTTAGTTCCATCGCAAGGCGAACAAAGCGGAAGCCACAGAGGGGCAACTTCGGCGTCTCCAGGCCCCAGCTGTGTGCTACGTAAGCCTCCTCTAGGGTTTAGAGTGTAGTGTAAGTTTAGGGTTTAGGGTTTTTGGTTGGGGGTTTAGGGAAAGTTTAGGGTTTAGGGTTTAGGGTTTAGGTGTTTTTAGGTGTTTCGGGTTTGGGTTCCCAAAGACTCCATTACCCCTTATGCCGGAAGATTCCTTAAGCCATTTAAAAGGAACCCTACTAGAGTGTAAGGATTCTTATCCATAATTACAAAGGTTTCGGAGTCCCTGGGTGTAAGCCTCCTCTTAGAGGGCTTATGGTCTAGGTTTTCAGACGTTTTGCCTAGTAGTAGAGTAGGTAACCTTTAACCTTTACAGTCCGCTTAGAGTCCCAAAGGTTAACCTTGAATTCCCCCAGGTTACTGGACAACTAAGTTTAGGTCAGGTCTTGTGGTTTAGGGGTTAGGTGTTCAGGGGGTTATGGGTTTAAAGGTTCGGGGTTAGGGTTTCCGGCATCGTCTGTGAGCATGCAAACGGGTTTAGGGAACCAGCCCTATTTCCTGAAAAAATCACATGAGGGAATACGTAGAATTATTGTTTGTTGCCCCCATGTGGAGGCATACCCCAAAGAGCGGAGCAGAAATTCAACAGCCAGGTTCTTCAGTCATCCGTTTTAGCATTTTTGGGACGTATTTTAATGTTTCCGAAGTTTTTTGTAGACTTGGGAACCCTGGATTGTACGGAGCAGATTCGCACTCACCCCGCCGTTGCCACCATACAAAATCTATGGATTGGGATATTCCCCCTTATACTCGCAGCTCCTTATTCGGGATTGTAGTACCCCCTATTAGAATCCCTATTAAGGACTGTCAGTATAAGGGTGAACATCCCATCTATGGACCCCAGAGACCCCCGCTCAGCCCTGTAGGCCCTGCAAGCCCTCTGCAAACAGCCCAAAAAACCCTCAAAATCCCTAGGTTTTCTTGGTTGAGCCCTAAACCCTAAACCTTAAATCCTAAACCTTAAAGCCTAGACCCTGGACTGCGAGGATGGAGTTGATATTGGGGAAGATCAACCCGCCCGGGCCCTCGCGGCAAGGATTGTGGGCGAGGACGCCGGGAGGGGTTAGGGTTTAGGGTTTAGGGTTAGGGTTTAGGGGTTAGGGTTGACTGTTCGGGCGAAGACCCCAAGCCCTAGTTAAACCCTACACTTCCCTAAGCCCTACTGAGCCCTAGCAACAGACCAGAAGCCTAAACCCCAATTAAGAGTTCCGGGTTGAGGGTTTAGTGTTTAGATGGTTTTCTCCCAAGGCTTATCCCCCCCCAAAAAAAAAGTGGTAATCCCTGTATTACCCTGACAAGGAAAAGTTTTTTTGTTGGGCGGTAGGGGATTCTCAAGAAAATAGTAGTATACCTTAAACACTAAACCGTAAACCCTAAACCCTAAACCCTAAACCCCTAAACCCTAAACCCTAAACCCTAAACCCTAAACGCTAAACCCTAAACCCTAAACCCTAAACCCTAAACCCTAAACCCTAAACCCTAAACCCTAAACCCTAAACCCTAAACCCTAAACCCTAAACCCTAAACCCTAACCCTAAACCCTAAACCCTCAACCCTTCTTCGCCAGGAGCTGGTGCATCGAGGGCCCTTGTGTGAACGGGCTGACTTGCCAGCAATGGCCAAGAAGGTGAAGATCCAGGAGGGCCCCTAAGCCCTAAACCGTCAACCCCAAACCCTCAAACCCTAAACCCTAAACCCTAAACCCTACGCCCTAAACCCTAAACCCTAAACCCTAAACCCTAAACCCTAAACCCTAGCCCTAAACCCTAAACCCTAAACCCGCCCGCCACCCCTCTCACCTCTGTTGGGGTAGGCGGGCGCAGTCGAGCGCTCAGCGAGACCACGGCAGGCTCTGCTAGGCTGCAGAGCCTGCCAGGCACACTCCTGAGAGGGTCGCCTAGCTAGAGTCGCCTAGCTCGTCTCAGATAAATCTTAGTACCCTAAACCCCAGGGGGGGGATCCTTTTTCAATTCCTGGCAACCCCTGGCCCTGACCCTGGCCCTGGCCCTGGATCTGGCCCTGGCCCTGGCCCTGGCCCTAATCCTGGCCCTGACCCTGCCTTTGGCCTGGCCCTGACCCTGGCCCTGGCCCTGGCCCTGGCCCTGGCCCTGGCCTCAAACCCTGGCCGTGGCCCTGGCCCTGGCCCTGGCCTCAAACCCTTGGTAGGCCCAGTTAGGGGGGCTTTACGCAATCCGAGGCAGTGCCAGTAGGCAGAAGGCTGCCAAAGAAGGCCCTCGAGCTGACAGGAAGCCCTGAAAGGTCCGACCCCTCGCTTTGACGCCAAGTGAACTTCGGCGTGGGGGGGATTCTTGCAAAACCTGCAGACTCTTCACGCCCTGAATTTTCTGTGAGAGGGCCCTTCGGCCCAGACCGTCCTGCGCAAAACCTGAGGGGGGGGATCCTTTGCCTTGTGCCCCGAGTGACCTCCGAAGTCAAGGGACACCCTTGGCACCCCCTCAAAGTAGTCCCAGGCAGTGCTCGACATGCTGCCTTCTTTCCTAGTGTCCCAATCAGCCACTGTTCCCAAGTGACCCCCCCAAGAAATCGCCAACAGCTCGCCTCAAGTTCGGCAAGTGTTCACGACTCGCACATATCCCAAGCTTTCGCAGTTTTTCTTAGTGTGCTCTGAACATGTTCGATATGTGAGATTTGAATGGCTGGCTTGGCTTTGGCTGGCTCCGGTTTGGTTTCGTGATGAGTATTGTTTGGGTGGCCTCGGGGTGGGCATGTCTTCACACTTTTGCGTTCAGCTGACCAATGCTACACCCTAAACCCTAAACCCTAAACCCTAAACCCTAAACCCTAGCCCTAAACCCTAAACTAGTGGTGGGCCGGGCATAGGACGCTTCGCCCTTTGAAGGTTGAGATTGCCGAGGGCAGAAATCGCGTCGTGCGGAGGACTGCCTTGGAAGGGCCAAGAATTCCAAGAGATTTAGGGTTTAGGGCTAGGGTTTAGGGTTTAGGGCTAGGGGTTTAGGGTTTAGGGCTAGGGGTTTTGGGTTGGGGTTTAGGGTTTGGGTTTTGAGCTTAGGGATTAGGGTTTAGGGCTACTACTTGGAGGTTTATGGGTAGTTCTAAGTCGGGATACAATTGTGGTAACTAT